ATTGTTGTTTCGCCTATTCACACACCTTGTTGCGGCCCTGGTTTTGTCAGTGAGCTTGTTCCTTTTGATGGTAATCTGCTAGTCATGCGGGAGCCCGTGATGGCTCCTAGTCCTTGTGGCGGTTGGACACCTCCTCTACCAGTTGACTACAGTCACTGGGTCTGGGACATCAGGTCCATGAGAGGCAGAAATTTGTATGCTGAAGAAGAGAAGGATCTCCGCCATGAGTACCGTTTCTAGCATCCTTTTCACTTTGATTACTATGAATCCATTCTCTACAACAAGTTTCTAAAGAAGAGGGAGCCACCGGTCCTTTAGATGAAGGTTATTGATGCTTATTCCCTTGGTGTGTTCAAGGAGCCTGAGCTAGAGCAGATGGTTCGTGATATACACTCAATGGGGTTATCCTACTTGATGGAGTTTCAGAAGCATTGGAACAATGAGATTATCTATCAGTTTTATGCTTCATATCACCATGAGAAAGACCCTACCGGTGCCATTGATATTATCCATTAGACCACAGAAGCCAAGCACTATAAGGTGGATTTCATTACTTTTTCTAGCCTTCTTGGTTTAAGTCACACCAATCGCACTACACCTTAACTTACTGAGTATGAGGATGTGGCTTTGGAGGAGTACTAGCATATGTACCTTGATGGATATCCAGCTGATGGATAGACTATGTATTTGAAGCCCTACTACTACATTCTCAACAACATCCTACGACAGATCTTGTATTCGAAGCGTGGTGACTCCACCTTCCTTTGCGATGACTCTTAGAAGGTGCTTCAGCACTTTGGTGATGATTTTGAGCAGTTCTCCATCAGCCAATACATTTGGATCAAGATACATGATGCCAGTGAGGATCCTATGAGGCACCTTACGTATGCTCCTACCTTATGCATGTGATTGAGCAAGTATTAGGCATCTAGTTCCCCATAGTTTCCCAGCACAAGCTCCTCAAGATCTCCAACAAGACTTCTATCACAGTTGCAAGGGACCTAAAGAAGAAAGCCGATGTAGCCCGAGGCAAAGGCAAAGGTCCTTCGGGCTCTCGCTCTCGCCGTGGTGCTTCACCACTTGCTGCTTCTCGTGCTTCTAGCGCTGAGCCGCTCTCTTCCTCCTCCTCTGGTAAGAAGCCCAGTAAGTTCAAGTTTCTCATGACCTACATGTTTAGACAGTGTTGTGCTAGTGCTCAACGCGAGCATGACATGCAAGAGAGACTCTATCGTTTGGAGAAGCGGGCTAGTATTGAGTAATCACCACCACCGCCGTTGGTGCCTCCTCGTGATCCTCTGGCGCTCTATGATGAGGCTTGTGCGGCTTATGAGGACGATGCTTCCTCTCGCCCTCATGGCAAGAGCAAGGCCACTGCTGCGGACAAAGATTACATCGAGGAAGATGATGATGACGACGACGATGGTGATGACGGTGAACATGATGATGATGAGGACTACGAGGACGAGTAGTCATTTCTCTCACGCGGCCTACCCCTTTTGGCACTTGTTTACAAAGAAGGAGTGTTAGGCTTTGATCTATCATGTAATAAGTTAGTTGGTCACTTAGTTTCGAGACTTTAAAACTTTTAGCTTGTATGAACTATGTCATGTGGTGGCTAGTATGTGATGGACAACTATATATGTGTTTGTGATGGATGATTGTAGGACAAGTAATGGTTATCTATCTATCTTATTAGCTTGTGCTTGTCTCTACTTGTGATGGTGGATGTTATTTTGGATGGCCATGTGTTGCTTCAAGTTTCTACTTTGAATTCTTGGCCATCACATTCTCTTTTACTTATTGTGTGAATATAACATGTCATATTGCATCTCTTTTCACGGATATATTTTGTTCACACACACTTGTTGCACCCCATGGATTGCAAAATTTAGGGAGAGCTTTTGTCTTGATGTATGCAAATCATGTATAGATGGTTCTAATTGAAATTCATATTCATGCATACATCAAGGGGGAGCTCTTCATAAATTTTGGGGTTCAAAAACTTTAAATTCTTCCATTCTTATAAAAAGCCTAAGTTGGGTGTCACCAATTACCAAAAAGGGAGAGATTGAAAGTGCATTTGCCCCCTATGTGGATTTTGGTGTATTGATGACATCCAAATTAGGGACCAATGTGATCTTAATGAGATATGTCCCAGCTATTAGTCCCATAAAAGATTCAAAGAGTTGATAAAGCTGAAATGGTATCCCTCAATTCTTGAAGTTGTAAAGATGGATGAACTCAAAGCGCTCTCCAAGGGTTTTATATTTTGTTTTGAGCTTATGATCCGCCGCACTATAAAGAGGGATGCAAACTTAGTTGGTCTGAGGAAGATAGAGTGCTCAAGCATAAAAATAAAATCAAAAGAGAGACACTCTAGCACTTCACGAGCACGTAGAATAGTTTTCAGTGACTCTTGGTGTCGAAAGTCCCGACGTAAGTCGGAACTCCCGACCGTCGGAAGTCACGACTCACGCCGAAAGTCCTGACACCCAGTCACTTAGCCTGCACAGTGACTGTGGCCAAGTCCCGACATGAGTTAGAACTCCCGACAGTCGGAAGTCCTGACCCAAGTCGGGAGTCCCGACACCTTGAGTTTAGCTGGCCGGTTGGATTTCTACCTTGTGTATAAATAGCTCTCTCCTCTCTTCTAACCGTGACTCAATTATTCACTGCTCACCAACCTTTGTCCAAAATAGCTCCCAAGCATTCAAGACTCCCCTCTCCTCTCCCCTTTTCTCCAATCTTTGATTCCCCTAGGGTTTTGAGTGAAAGGAGAGTGGATTGAGTGAGAGCATCACTTTGGCAAGCTTGAGCACTCGATTTCTTCGTTAAGCCGGTTGGATTTGCGTCTATTACTCTTGGAGCTTTGCCCCTAGCCGGCTAGGCGTCGCCCACGAGCTTCCATCTTGTGGAAGAGCCTTGGAAAGTTTGTATTACCCTCGATTTTTTAGTGAAAACCTCGAGTAACCTTTGTGGTTGCTTTGAGAGAGGCAAGGAGGTGAAAGAGACTCTGTCCTTTATGGTCACCTCAACAACGAAGACGTAGGAGCTTCTTTGTGGTGTTGCCGAACCTCGGGATAAATCCTTGTGTCCCGTGTGGTTGTTGTTGTTGTTGAGACTTGTGCTATCACTTTTATTCTTGTGTCTCTTCCTCCCCAAAGATTTTCTTAGGGTTTGGACTCAATCTACGGAGTGGTGACCTTTTGGCATCAAAGGAGCAACTCCAACGCATTACCTTACCACTAGGAAGTGGGGTCGTAAGTTATCGAAGTCACAAAATTAATTTTAGCACTTGTACATTTCCCGTAGGCGTCGGGACTTCTGACAGTTTGCGTCGGAACTTCTGACGACGTCGGGAGTTCTGACCCGAATTGTCGGGACTTTCGACAGTTGCTGACAAGTGACTTTGAGTTTTGTGTAGAATTTTTTAGATATGCCTATTCACACCCCTCTAGGCATTGTTTAGATCCTTTTAACACATTTATGCAAATTGGAAGAAGGAGTTCTACAAAAGGACTGCCAGTAAAAGTTTTGGAGGTGTGCTAAAGCACCTTGCCTTATGCTTTTCAACTTGGCAAGAGCGAGGCTAGCAAGAGAAACCAGAGAAGACGCACAAGCTATACTGAACACTCATTCTCAACATTGGAGCAGAGCTTGGTTCAGGTTGAGCTCTAACTGTGACTCAGTAGATAATAATACTTGTGAGTCATTCAACAAATGGATCATCGAGGCTAGGTTCTTCCCTATAATCACCATGCTAGAAACTATTAGAAGGAAAGTAATGGTTAGGATCAAGAACAAAGATCTAAATCAGAGAAGTGGAAAATTGTTATCTGTCCGAACATTAATAAAAAATTAAATATCTATATATCCTTGTCTGCAGACTGCCATGCCATCTGCAATGGGGAAGACAAATATGAAGTTAAGCATTTTGACAATAGGTTCACAGTGGATTTGGTGGCAAAGACATGTGGCAAAGTCATGTTCCTGTAGGTATTGGCAATTGGCTGGACTTCCTTGTTGCCATGCCATTTCATGTATATTGTTCAAGACCAACTACCTAGATGAATATGTGGCTGACTGTTACTTTGTTCAGCACTTCAAGCAAACATAAAGTCGCTGCTTAAACCCAGTTGAGGGTATGAACAACTGGCCTGTATTTGATAGGGTACCCCTTAGAGCACCTGGTTATGTGAAGATGCCTGGCAGACCAAAGACTGAGAGGAGAAGGGAGCCAACAGAAGCGAGAAAGGCCACTCAAATGCCAAAAACTGGTATAGTTATCAAATGCAGCAAATGCCACTTGACTGGATAAGTGGAGCAGGAACTTCACAGGTAGGCAACACACATGCACTGAACTCAGAAGGAGGAGGTAGCTCACAGCCAGCAGGTTCTCAGTCAGTTGCAGGAGGTAACCCAAATGCTATTGTTATGCTGTCTAATACACAAAAGAGCAGCACAAGCTGTACAAAAAGGAAGTCCACATCTGATATATCTAGTACATAGTCAGAAAAAGGTATGTTTACCTATATCTCAAAGTTTTAACTTATGTGGCTTATATTTGAAATTAATTCTAGCTTTATGTAACTGATGTAGACAAAGACAACAAACTCACATAACATCATCAAATCGAGTGCACATGCCAGGGTTTCTACAATTCCTTCTGGCTCAGCTACAATTAACCTGCAAGCCAGAGTGCCCACTTCCAATGTTAATTCTAGTGTACATGTACAGTTAACTGGTGGAACTGCATCTGTTCGTGTGTCAGCTCAAGAACCGGCCAAGTCGAAGTCCAAGCCTGCTCCAAAGATATCTGGAACTGCTCCACTCCTGATGCTTCCTCCATGGCAATCTGATAAGCTGTGATGTGTACAACTTGCTGGCTGTATGCCAAACTTAGATAATTATGCCATGTATGATAATTATTTGCACTTATATGTGTACAGCTTGCTGGTTGTATGCCGAACTAGACCCATTTTATAATAATTAAACAGCTATCACTTAAACATTTGCATCAACACCAACACAAGGAGAATGACGGAATTGAAACCTAACAACACTAGTACAGCAACACCAAGACATATCATCCAATTCATATGTCCTTGCTTCTTCTTCGTGCCTCCCTTCTTGGCCGCAGCTGCAGTCCTTCCAATAGGTTCTTTCTTCAGTTCATACATCTCAGATTGCACAATCCCTTCCACAGTCTCTGTCATCTCCAATGGACGGTAATGACACATCTGAGACTCTTGAAGCATCCCATAATTAACAAGAAAGTTGGCATATTCTTCTTCGAACATGTAGAACTCACAAAGAGGAAACTGAAACGGCAAAAAAAAATCAGTCCCCACCGTACAAACCCTAACTTTGATTTACCACCATAAATTTCAATAAGGAAACCAAACCTTTTTATACTTCCTCGGACATTTGAAGAACCTTTCCATTTGGTGCTCATCTGATTTTGACATTAGCTCCAAAATCCTCCCCATGCCGCAGTACGGACACCCGATTAGCGGCAGCCCACTTTCTCCAAGCGGTGGCTCCGGCGCGGATTCTGGCTACGGTAGGAGCGGACGTGATGTGTTAGGGGCCATAGGGAAATCGAGGGGAAGCAAGGAAGAGGCTAAGGGCGGCGCGGCAAGAAGGCGTCGAGGAAGAGCACTGCGACGATGTTTGAGCGGCGACGCAGGGGTAGGAGACGAGATGGAGTCGAGATGAACGGGCCTACTCTTTTTTATTGAGTCTTGAGCTGAGTCAGCGTGGGCCCCACATCCGACGTGGCGCCAACAAGGCAAAAACCAGCGCGCATAACAGCTTTGGGGGTCAAGTGCACGGTTTTGATAGATGAGGGAGGGCCTTGCGTCGGGTTTTCGAGTTCACGAGGCAAAGCTGACGAGGGAGGTAAAATGAACTTTTTCTCTTCGGAAAACGTTACTCGCGAAACTATCCCCCGGCCAGCGCCCAAGCTGCGCTGGGTATTTCTTTTGAAGACATGCAGGGCCTAGCCCAAGTCATTCTGTCAGCTTGAGATCTAATTTCTCATGAGTTACTGAAAAAAAAATAGAGACAACCCTCGTACATTTTCAGATGTTCATATCAATTACTCAATCAGTAACAGACAACGGTAAAACACAGCAAGTTCTTGTTCCAGCGCCAATTATTCAGATGTTGAGCTCAATATGACATAGTGGCTTTTACTCAAATGCGGCAACCTACTTGATTCAGACAGAACCGGCAAACAGGAGGACGTCTAGTACCTGTTCAGTGAATAGATAAAAAAAAGTACCTGTTCCTTTGCTTTTGGATAGATTCTAGTACCTTTTCCATGTACGTACATACTCGTCGGTGAGTGACTTTTTTCCAATAGACAATTTGCCACATCATTGGGAATCTCCGTACAGCTAAAAAGGGAAAAAGAAGAAAGTATCCCCATTTGTAGATTAGCTGACGAATCTTTCACATTATCTTCAGAAAGAAGAAAAAGCTTCTTTTCCTCTATAATATGCAGCACTACTCCGTATGTGGGTTTCATTGCAAAGCTAGAATGACTCCCGTGTAACTATTACTTACTAAGACATCCTTTTGTAGTTTATCATAAGTTTTGGTTGCATCTCTTCTAATGTTCCTTATAGCAACATGTAAAACGAGCAATCAATCTAAAGCTCCGGGCTCTTCCTAAATTGGACTCATCTTGTGCAAAGATACTGTAGCAAGAGATGTTTCTCTCTCCTCTTTTTTTTCGGATATTCTCTCGGCTTTCCTAATTGAAGTAAGAGCCGGTAAAGTCTCCCTGCTCTTCTAAATGAACTAGGAGCCGATAATATACGTACAATTTTTTAAATAAATTTAACTGGCTCCTGCTCCTTTGGTTATTGTAGCAGGAGTCGGTAGTGTAGAAAGCCTTACGAAACGAGACATAAGTAGGAAGATAGACAGGCAATATTTCAGATGAAAACATAGCGAGAAGGTTGAGCAAGTAAAAGTAAAACTTTGGCTACGGACTTTTGCTAAATCGTGTTGAAAAGTTAAGAACTTCGGTAGGATGAAAAAGTGATAAATAACTTTAGAACCGATGCATCTTTTTTAATAGACGAAACCCGCACCATTCTCCCTCGCATCTTAGGCCCCGTTTGGTAGGGCTTCTCCAGCGGCTTCAGGAGCCGTTTGGAGCCGTTTTCTGCCAAACGGGGTAAAATAAAACGGCTCCACCGATGAAGCCCCTAAAAACGTGCTCTCACAGAGCTTTGGGGTGGGAAGGAGCCAAAAATAGTGGCTTCTCCCGGCTCCTCCTTCAGGGCCCTAAAAACATGCTCTCACAGGGAAGCCATTTTGCCAAACGGTTTACCAAAACCACTTCAGCTCCACCGGTGGAGCTGTTCGTGAAGCTGAAGCAAAAAAAAATGGCTTCACTAATGAAGTGAAGCCCTGCCAAACGGGGCCTTAGCTTGCCACGTCGCCTGCTCTTAGCTTGCCACGTCGCCGGATTTTCACAACCGTTGGATTTTGATCGGGCCATTAAAAAATGAGCGAAGCTTGAAGCTTTTCCTATCCAGATCCTTCCCGAGTGTCCCACGCCGCCGTTGCTCGTGCACCTCTGCAGCCGCCTTCGCGTCGCCGTTGGTCCCTGCTCCTCGCTTTCCCAGCCACCGCTGGTACTCCGCTGCTGTCCACGTGCGGCGCCACCCCCGCCGCCGGACGTGGTCGATTGTGACGGCGGAGCCTGCTGCGGCGACGCGAAGGCGTTGAGGAAGCCCATGGCGGTGTGCAGACCATGAGGGCGGCCTTGGAGGAAACCGAGAGGAGCGTTGCCTTCGACTTCGCCTTACGTACGGTAACGAGCCTTCCCACGCCCGCCCACGCTGCTATAACCGTCGCTGCGGCCGCCCGCGCGACGCCCACGCCGTCAGCGACCACGGCTGCCCAGCCAACTCACTCCTGCGCCAGTGCGCCCACGTGAAAGGCTCTGGCCTTGTCGTGAGAGCCGTACTATTTCAGCGAACCAACAATATTTTTCTACCACAACAAATCAGCACCCATGCTTTTCGGCGAACTGAGCCTCTGTACCCGACAGCAAGGACACCTCCTGCTCCTGTGTGCTTCGCATTCCTGGCCACTATCGACCAATGTCGGCGACAATACTTCCATGGATGATGCCCTTAACGCGTTCGATGAAATGGGCACAAGGTATATATGCATCCCCCGCCTCTTTTTTTCCTTCTCAATATTTTTTGCTGATTTGCATTCTCCATCTCTATCAGTTGTGCTTTCCATAGTCAGGTTTAAAGTTCAGTACAGAGTTTGACATGAGTTCAATGATTGCAGTGCAACTGATGGGATGAGGGTTGTACGATCTTTTTTGTTATTTGATTAATGCACCAACTTGCCTGCGAGCCACTAGCACTAGCAGCCAATGTGGCTAGACACCTTAGGTTCAATCGAAGCTGATGCACATACCGCCTATCCATGCACAATTGCTCATGGTGTCTTGTTCCTCAATCTAGAAATGTTGTGCTTATCCTCCTTTTGTTTTTGCCATGCAAATTCAAAAGCATCAATCTCATATGGCCATTTGAATTGGCTTTAGTGAATGGTGACTGTGCAATTGGTGAATGGTGACTGTGCAATTGGAAATAGTCACCAATTCTAACTCTCTTTCGTCGCTATATGTTGCTCAATTTGTCATCTTACCTTTTATTCACTTACAAATGCACTCAGGGACATTTGGTTTGAAGTTGCTATTGTAGTTGTTGTCCCCCACCTATGGAAATATCATCAGCAAGCATTTTGATGTCTACTTTAGCTGCATGGAGATCTTACAAGTGCACCCTCTACCTCTGTGTTGCATCCTATTAATTCAATGAAGGTAGAGTACCATGCTTCCTTACATTATTTTTGTTCAAACAAGTGATTCAATGAAGCTCAGGATATTCAATTAGGAGATTCCTATGTATAGTATCCCATATCCCATTTTGAGATTTTCATTTATAAAAGACATAATTGCTGATCATGAATCGACATCAATAATAACTTTCATAAGTTAGCCTAACTTCTACAAGAACAGATAGGGGTACTTTAGATTGAACATTGGTCAAGTAGCCATATATGCATGTTATAGATTTGTAGTTGAGGCCTTGCACAGATCTTGAGAAACTGTCCTAGGATTACTATGCTGGGATACAACCACGATACAGTTCTCGAAGCCAATCTGTGGAAACTTTGAAATAAGATCCGGCAATGAGTGTATATGCTTGGACAGGTGTTTTATACAACACAAAAGCTAATGCAATGGAATTTTGGGCATTTTACTCATCAGGTTGAACTTTTGTTATCCCTTATAGTAATCCAAAAGACCAACAAGATTAAGCCTATGTGTGGATTCACAGACAAACTTATTTCCATCCCTGTTAAGTGCCTAGCGATTCAAAAAGTATAGCCTCATGGGATTTGGTTACATCCATATTATTAATATATCTGAATGACTTGAAATGAAGCAGCTTTAGGCGTAGAAATTTTGACTCATTTGGACAGGTGCAACTGGTGTGTATTTTGGTTATCGTGATTTGCAAGTGGTAGGTACATCTGTTGTTAAAGTGTTAATATCAATTTGTCTTACATAATATCATATCTAATGATGATGGACTTAGTTTTGCAGGCAGCACGACATGTTTGAACAATGATTCAGAAACATGGGAAACAATGACAGTTCCAGCATTGTCTGCAGGAGTTGCGTCAATAGTAACAACTAACTTCAACGTGACGAAGATGCAAATAATGACTGCCCTTCCAGACACACCATCGTTCATGAGAATCCACTTGCGCTCTTTAAGGCTTATGGTGTATCTATAAAGTTTGGTCTCATTTATTCATATCTTCTTTCATTTCAATTAAGTTTGACTATTTCTTCTATTTGATCAGAGTTAAGACCTAATATGAGATTATAGATCCTCTAAATTTACCAGGTGCGATATAAATGATTTCACCTACTATGAATTTACGCAAGCTGGTTCTCAATGATATAAATTTCTGTAGTTGAATATTTTCAAGATAACAGGTATTATCTGCTGGCATACATATGGTAAAACACTTACTATGTAACCTATACAAATAAAAAAAAACTTTATCCTAGCCTACACAGGCTGAGGCGTGGCAAAGCCGCTTCAGTTTTTCTAGTGACATACGATGTTTACTGCTAATTGAGGTAGAACCTGATGTTAACCACTCTGATACAATGCTAATAATAACATCACCAAAACGGCAAAACACAGACCATTGTGGGCAGGAAAAAGTCTACATTACCTCCCTCAACTTTTACGAAACTCTATTTTTCCTCATGAACTCTAAAACCGGGTAAACCACCTCCCTGAACTTTTAAAACCATTCATTTTACCCCCCTGACCGGTTATAAGCGGTTTTTAAAGGCGGTTTTATCTTTTTATTTATTTATTTCGTCTGAATCTTTGAAAAATAATAGTAAATCACAGAAATATCATAAAATATAAAATTCAATTTTGTTGCACTCAACATGAGTAGATCTACACAATGAATATATAATATGTTATGCTTTAATATAATTTTTTTTGTTGTAGCTTTATATCTATGTTTGTCTATAATTAATTCATAGGTGCAGTTTCTATGGTCTTATTGTGGTGAAATTTTTATGGTGGGCTAATTATTGTATACTTGAACTGTAGTAAAAATTTCATACTCATTGGATCATATATAACTTAGTTATAGATTTATTTAGGTGTATTCTTGTTAAAAAGTATTTATTTAATGTGGACTTTTTCCTTGAGGGTATGCCATTTCCGCGGGCTCCTCAGTTTGGGCCAGGCCTAGTTGGTAACCAAGACTTACTTTTCCCAGCCTAGCAAGCGCGGAGCCTAGACCTGCGCCAGGCCAGGTCGGACTAAATTCACTTAGGCTAGTGCTGGGCCAGATCCCACAACGGGCCTGTTCGCCTGGAGAAATTCTGGAGGAATTTGGATGGTTTTGAGAAATGCTGGAGGAATTTGTGAGAGAAAAATACTGTTCCAGATGAAAAAAAAAAGCAGATCAAGCCGGATTTAAGGGCACGCGAACGGAGCCAACATCCAAAGAGCATTGTTTTACTCGGATAAAATAGGCTTTCGCTTCAAGTTTTGCAGATTAACAGCTAAGCCGATTTAGGTACAAATCTGTATCTATATGTATAGTTAATATTAAAAGGATAAATTTATCTCCTTCATTTTTTTTTCATCTGTCAGTCCATCCCACTTCATCTCACTCTACTCCATCTGCATCTCACTCTTGTGGTCCACACTTTTACAATCCAAATCCAACACAAGATCATGTCTCCAAAGCCAACGCAATCCGAATTTGACACGAGACCATGTTTGAACAACACACGTCTCACCATGGTATGAAGCCCAATTCGACATATTAGAACAGATAATGTGATCGTTGTATAAATTGCTGAGCCGCAAGTTGTCTAGGTGACGCTCCACTGTAGTATGTAGGCGTTTTTGCTAGTATCTTAATATCTTATAAGAAACAAAACCCCACTAACATAGCTATCTATTTATGCAAGCTACATTCCATGTCTAAGAAACCACGTCCATACTAACGAGCCACATAAACCGATAATTATAGATCATGCGATTTTCATTCAAAACCATCCACATTTTTATAGTTTACAACATTTTCGTTGGAATCCACCTCGGTGGCCAAATAATCGATATAATGTTTAGATCTACAAATATAGATACAAACGTAGTACTAATGTTTATGTATCAAAACGATCTCAAATGAAAATGGCATAAACTACAAAGTTATAGTTTTTTCTATAACTTCGATATAAACTTTATCTCATCGAAGTTCATATATAAAATTTATGATTTTTTTAAAAGATGAATAGGCAAAAAAAAAAAGGAAATTCCACTGATTGAACCGGCGGTAACCAACATTTCGCAAGCTCAAACGCCACGCCGGTATGTCCTCCCGGACCCTCCAAAGTCCAATAGGTGGCAATAGTATAGTTTTCAACCTTTTGATTTAGTCAAATGTTTTTGCAAAAAATGAATTTATTTAAAAATATAAATAAAAAATAAAAACTGTCTCTCAATGCCGCTCAAAGGCGCGTGCATGTGGGCCGGTCTGTTATCGGCGAGGTAAAGAGATCTGGAGTGGCAACATCTGAATTCTGAAACGGGCCACACATGTGCTCCAATATGTACTGCTCCGGCCTTTGGGCCTTCGCTCTCGTCGTCCGCCAGATGCTTGCCTCGCGGGCTCGCGGTGTCCGGCGAGGCCTGAGCTCATGGTGTCATCACGCCGAGCGTCAGCCGTCAGCAGTAACTCACGAGCAGCGTCAGCCGGTTCACGAAGACACGTTTGTCGAGTTGCATCTTCCACTTGTGGCCGGGCCGGCCGCCCCCGTCGTTTCCGGAAGCTCGTGCGCGACGTGTAGGATCGCTGGATCGACCGGTCAGCGCCCGTCAGCCGTCGCCGATCAGATGTTCAGATCGACACTCGCGCCGTGTCGTAGTCATCCTGTGAAGAAGGATACGACAAGCTAGAGAATCCGGCTTGCCTTGTTGTAGACTGCTGTAGGGATTGGACTGGACAGTGGACTCCACTGAATGACTGGAAACCCCTACACACCCTACCGGGGGCTTACGCGAAATGTAGCTGTTTGTTCCGTTGTGCGGTTGTGCCAAGCGACCTAACGTGACTATCTACATATGGACTACTCTCAAGTACCCGCTGCTGTTGTCAATTGTCAAGATGTTTTGACATCTTCCACCAAAAGAATCCTCTCGGTACCTTATTACGAGCGCGGGTATGCACTCATCAGTGCCTCACCGCCGACAGCGACAACCATGCATTGATGCATGTATATGCACACACGCCAAAAGCGTTGGGGCCTTGGGGGAGCCGGGTGGAAACTGGTAAAGCCTCAGCCCTTATGCCGTTTTATGCCGTGTACTCGTGCAAAACGCCTCCGTCGACGGCGAGAAGACTCCAGGGTTCCCGCTCCTGGACGTATTCTCGGCGCCATGCATGCACATCTTATTAGCTACGGTCGAGCTGTCTTGTGATGGTTTTTACACCTAATAAGCCGGCTGATAATGTTTTATTTTAAGAAAAAAAACATTATACCATAGCTGAGCAAATGGACTGGGCGACTGGGCATGCATCCACAATCATGTTCCCATGTTCGTTCGCTTGGGCCTTCCATCGCTTCTGCACCCCATGTGCAGCTTCGTTCGGATGATGAAGCGAGCAGTAGCAGGCTAGTAGCGACTGCCAGCAGTGGTCTCGCGTGCCGTGGACAGCGACCCGCGCCGGCTGGCCGGCCGGTAGACCGTATCAGCAGCGCAGACGAGACCCTGGTCAGGGCAGAGGCAACAAACGGCAACAAAGCGAGAACCCGGAAGGGCAAAGCGGAAGACCACGAGAAATTACCACCCGGAACACATAAAGCCCGGGCACCCCAAACCTACCAAACGCTGGCCACAAGGGCATTTCCGGGAACCTCGCCGCGGGCGGGGCCGCAGGGGCCGGGCTGGAAGGCCGCGGAGCTTTTATTTACCAGCTCGGTTGGTCAGCCAGCCAGCCAGTCATTAGTCAGTACTGCACACTGGCATCGCTCTCCCACTGCTAGAGACGCGTGAGCAGGAGTAGTAACGGTTTCTCCCCAGCTCGCGTCTCGTCCCTTCGCTCGCTGCTGCTAGTTCGGCCGGAGCCATGGCGCGGAGGGTGGCGGGCGTGGCGGCGCTGGTGGTGGTGCTGTGGGCGGGCGTGGCGTCGGCGGCCGTGTACGAGGTGGGCGACAAGACCGGGTGGACCATCATGGGCAACCCCGACTACGCCGCCTGGGCCAGCTCCAAGAAGTTCCACCTCGGCGACACCGTTGGTGCGTCCCATCCCTCCCCCCCTGTCCGTCTCTCGTTTGCGCTCTCTTTGCGTGTGTGCGTGTTGAACTGTTGATCGAGCAGCAGGAGCAATCACTCCCTGTTTTCGTCCAGTTAGATTTTCTTCAGAATTCCACTAGGAGAACGGAGAATTTTGAAGCGAACACACTTCGATTTTTCTGCCGAAATTCTGGGAATGTTCCTTCTCAACTCTCAAGAACTATAGAACCCCGGATGGATTAGTGATTAGTGCACTAGTGGCACTCGGGCCAGCACGACACATGGTTGTAGGAGTAACAAACTAGGGCTGACAAGTTAACAGCAACTCGGCAAAAATTGAACAGCGATCGGAAGACGCCTACTCGTAGTTGCAGGAAGGAAGTACCACAAAGTAATTTCCCTGTCCTCTTCTGAGCCCTGTCCAATCTCCACCACCCTCTCGGCGTCGGAAGTACCACAAAGTAATTTCCCAACAACAGAGTTGTTTTTGTGTGATTCTGTCAGTTTCAGGCTTCCGGTAGCGGCCACCGGCCATGGAGGAGAGCAGCACTAAATCCGGAAGCGGGCCCCCACGCCCTAATTCCGAGCGAAAACTCGCTCACGTCGCGTGTGGACACCAAGGTTTTAAATAGCCGTCTAAGCAATTTAGCTTTCTACATTCGAAAATAGGTTATAATAGTTATAGCTGGATATAGCAGGCTATAGCGATAGCTAAAGACTAACTTGTATATTAAAAAACTTAGATAAATACTTTTTAAATAGCTATAACTAAAATAGCGGAGGCTATAGCCGAAAATTTAAAACCTCTTACACACTCGTCCCAGCCCCAGCAGCAAAGAAAAGGCCGCGCACCTCCGTTTACCCGTGGCCGCTTTACACGTGAACGGAAGAAAGCACCCGAGAATCGGTGGCCGCTACGTGTACCTTCGCGTGGGCGCGGCTGGCTGCCTGGCTGGAAGCCGAGGCCTCATTTACGGATTATTACAGCCCCGCGCCGCGTTGGTCGTCAGCCTGTGCGGCGCCTAGCTACGCCGTCTTTATTACTTGCCCTCGTACGGCCGCAGTGGTAGTGGTAGCACAGGTAGTGGTAGTACCCGCAAAATCTATGCTGGCCTGCACCGCCATGAAGTTAATGATCCATTAATGGTGGATGACCGTGTCGAGGATTAGCAATAATCTCATTGATGGCTGACGTGACGGAACGTTGGCCGTGAGGAAACAGAGAGGGTGTCGGCGGATCGATCGATCGATCTGGGTGCGCGCGCCTTGTGCAGCACCAGGCCACCAGCAGTTGTAGTGCGCTGGCTGCGGGCCAGGAAGGATGAGTGGCCAGGCTAGCGACCTGCAGGCTTTCGGCTATCCTTTTCGGAATGCGATCGATGGAGATCAGCAGCCTGATCGTTTGGCCGTGGCCCGTCGTAAATGTTTGTAAATTTTTGGTCGGAACAGTATATTTTTTCTCTTACACAAATCAGCCAGCAGTACCAGCCAACCGAACGGGCTACAGGAGATGGAAACACTAGGGATAGCTCCAGGTAGTAGGTTGGTAGGCTCTTGACGCTACCTTCTCCTTCCCCGTGGCGGCCGGCGTCCGCCATTTGGACGTGGTGTGACCGTGCTCGTGCCCCGCCCGGCAGGGACGTCCCGGCGCCTTTCTCGGCGTGACGCACGGCCCCACCCAACCTCCAGCCGATGCTAAAGGTGGGGCACGGCTGCACGGGGCAGGGCAGCAGTGGTAGCGGCACGCACAATGCATGCGCCGTGGGAAGGCTGGCGGTGGCGCTGCTGCGCGCGCGCCTGGCGCCTGGCGGCCACTGCTCATCAGTCTGCGTGCTGACGACCTGCCGTCCGTTGCACACGTCCGGGCTCCGCGGCTCCGCCGGGGAAAGGGACACGCTTTTGCCGAAACAAATGCCTGCTGCTCCGGTGCTCCGGGACTCTTGTCTCTGCTCTGTAGCCAGCGCAAAGAGCATGACATGCCAGTGATATCACCGTGCAGTCACGCACAGTCAAGCCTTCTCCTACACTAGCGAAAGGACAACTGCCTCGCTAGCGAAAGGACAAAAGAACGTGCGCTGTGCTCCAGAATTTTCGAGAGGTCAACAAGCTTTTGCCTTCTCTTCTTCTCAGGTAGTGAAGGCTCTGTTGCCTTTGCTGGTTAATCCCGTGATGAAGGAACCTTTTCTAGTACGAGTAGGAGTAGCTTTTCTAGACATGCCTGGTGCTTATTCGAACGGGCTTTCTCCTTCCTGGAAAAAACTTGAAGCTGCTTTTGCCGCCGGACCACCGTCCTCTTAAGAAAGTTGAATTGTACTTGAATACTAATGATTCTTATTAGCTTGCGCTTTGCTTCATTGATCTAACTTTAGTGCTATCCATCATGACAGTCCAAAACAAATCCCACACATGGTACACATGACGAGCATAAAGAAAACATTCTAGAGCATTTCTACTCGTACGGTTCTCCTCCCGTGAGGCCGTGACAGAACATTCACAGCACCTTTTCACGTGTCCCAACTCCCATCTAACCTTGAATCCTTAATGCCACAGCCAAGTTAGGGAAGGTTTAGATAGGAAAATAGGGTAGGCTTTGCCTTACCTTGCGGTGCGTGCCTCTGCAGCATTGGGATTCCATGGCAATGCAATCGTTTCAGACTAGTAGACGGCAACCCATGTTAGGATTGCCAGAAATGAGCCGTGCACATCTCTGTAACCCCCCCTCCTTTGCGCCCAGGTAAGCTCACTCACTCTGATGTCTCTGACTCCAATGAGGCATTTATCCTGTTCGCTGGTTAGTTTCTGGTCTGATAAGTCCGGCTGATGCTAATTTATTATGAGAGAAAAACACTGTTGGCTGACTGATAAATTCTGGTTAAAACCAACAAGCAAACAAGCCAGGCTGATTAAGAGTTTGACACGTAGACGCAGGTCATACGTCCTTCTGTTTCTGGTGGAAATGGATGAGATCTGTCTCCAACAAAAAAACTTATATGGACACTCAAACCTAAAATAGTTAAAAAGAGATCTAAAATCAGCATCAACAGAGTATCTATACTGAAGATCTATTTTGTGTTATCTGAGAGGCACAGCCTAAATATAGGCATCATCTCTCTTGGAAACCTATTTGCTGAAAGAATTCTCTTTTGGGTCTTGGTGTTGGAGAAGATGCCGAATAGATATTGAACCCTTTGCCTGTAGCGTTATCAAAAGATGGATGAGTCTTATATTTTGGGTGATGGTGTTGTTGGAGATAGTCTAAGCACTTATCACCCGCCTGGATCTGAATCACACTGTACTGTTTTACTGGCATGGGAGAGGTTGCAAGTTTGCAACCTTGGCAAGCCTACAATTCCTAGACGATGAACATCACTTGCCATTCACCAAAATACGATACTTTCTTGGTGAACCAACCATTCACTGCTCAGCTACATACGGAGTAGAGTACTCCGGCCGGTACCATGATGTGATGTGTTGTTCACTTTTTCTCCGCATCTGCCTGAAATACATCACCTTTTGGCTTTTATATGGGCATGCAACGACTTGTCAAATAAACCATCGGTAGTTTTTATAGTCTCGGATATTATACAAAGAAACTATTCTCCCCAATACAGCCTTTTTATCCAGGATCCAAATAAAAATCCAGCCAATCATTTACCTTGCTGTACCTGGATCCTCTGCGCCACCTATGAACAAGCCGTGCTCTACACCATGAACTCCGCCCGGGCCATGCTCGCCGCGGAAAGCTGCGAACCGCATCGTGGCGCCATCGTGCTCGCCGCCGGAAGGAAAGAGAAGCGCAGGAACGTGACCTTGACGGACTCGTAAGTCCCGACGCAGACCACGCGACCGCCACGGACGGCCATGGCGTCGTCGAAGGTGTAGGCGGGGTCGGCGGTGTAGATGGTTGATGGTAGCGTTGGCCCGGACCATGTCGGCGAAGTGGTCCCGCGGCAGCGTCCCTGCAATGCGTTGGCCAGGACCATATCTTGATTTTGCTTGCTTGCTTGTCATCGATGATGAACTCAACCGCATCTTGCTTGCTTGCTGGCTTCCATCTCCTCCGCCTCAGCCAGCGGCGTCGCAGCCCTCGCGGACAGCAGCAAGCGCGACGAGTTCTCCGTCAGCAGTCCCCCGTTCGACCCCAACCCCAACTCCTCGCCACGCTGGCGGCCGCGCTAGCGAGTCCGCGTCCGCGCTGGCGGCCGCGCCAGCGAGCTCCGCGTCGACGGCCGCGTCCGCGCGAGCGACTCCGCGACCACACCGGTGGCCGCGCCGGCGACCTCCCACGTCTACGGCGCACGGGATCTGCAGAGGAGAGATGGAAACGATGTGTCCTCTCCCAACGCGAAAATCACTGATTTCTTTCGCCTCGTTTCATGCGTAGACTCGATTTCCTTCTCTTTCTTAGATCAGTTGCCTTCCACGTCATCAAAATGCTGATGTGGTAGCCTAATAAATAAAATAGGGACAGAAACTATCCTTAAGCTCTGTTTGTTTTACTAAAAAGCTACGACTGAAAGTACTGTTAGTTAATTTATTATAAGAGAAAAATAATATTAGTTTACTGAAATAGTACGGCTCATAAGACAAATGAAGATGGCCTGCATTGGGAGTGCCCTGATGCGGGGCCCTGTTGCCAACTCACCGATGCTGCTGCATGCGCTCTAATTCTATGCTCACTTTCATCCGCTCTTTCGTCCGATCCAGCGATTCGATCTGTTGGTAGCTCTTGCCGGCCCTCTCAGTGGGTCCAAAAGATGAGGGCGTGCATAGCATCTTTATAGCTATAGTAATGAGAGGACTTCAAATGAGGATAACCCCATCCAGGAAAGGTTTCTATGATTGGCAATGTGGATGATACAGCCCAGCTCCAGTGTCATGCTTGCAATGTGGATGCCAGATTGGGGTAGGCCCATGAGCTGTAAAGTTGGCATGATGATCACCTCTCCTATCATTTCATCCACGAGAGATGCACGCCACTCAAGTCAAAATTGCTCGGTTTTTTACCTGTTTATTCCACGGCTGCACTGAATTCTGCCTTTCTTCTACCAAGGTGAATCTTCTGTCCATGAGGAGATAAAAATAGCTGTCGAGTAGTTGTTGAGTGGAGATAAAAATTCTGGTTTGTTGGCACGGATTGCTGTGTGGAATTTTCATGAATAACGCAGATATAACTAGATAGTGTGGAATCGTAGCACTTTCATCAAAGGCGATCGGTACCGCCATTGAGTGGGTTGGTAGAATCCGTGCTGATATGAGCTATGCTTCATAAATAATTCATTATGCTTTAATCCCCAGCAACCAAAAAGTTTGTCCATGAGGATGTTGACGTTTCTTACGTTTACAATACAATACGTAGGACATTAGCATGATGAGGTGCATAGATGAAATTGGTCATCTAAGCTCAGCAATTTAGTAAGTCAAATTCATGATGCCATCATGCTGGTGTCAGATTTATCTCTGTTTCAAACATGGCACTACCCTCTTCAGGCTTCAGCTGGCAGACTTATTGACCATGTGGGACATCTTACTGATCAGTGTTTACTACTGGTTTTGTTCGTCAGTTGTTGAAGCTATTGGCGATGTGTGGGGATCCATGGAACATGGATAGAATCATCCACATCACTTTGGTGCTTGTGTTTGTGTCTGTTTGTTTTAGTTTTGTCCAAGTAACAACCTTTTGTAAAACTGGCATCCTCCTCCTTAATTTTATGATACTCCTATATAGCACTGCTCCTGCTTATTAGTTAATAAAAGAAAGAAAGAAACTAGTGACTATTGATTGATTCATGTCTGACGACTTGTGATCTTGTTGGCGTATGATTGCAGTGTTCACATACAACAAGCAGTTCCACAACGTGCTGGCAGTGAGCAAGGCGGACTACAAGAACTGCGACGCCAGCAAGCCGACAGCCACCTGGTCCACGGGCAACGACTCCGTCGTCCTCAACAACACGGGCCACCACTACTTCCTCTGCGGCTTCACGGGCCACTGCGCCGCCGGGCAGAAGGTGGACATCCGCGTCGCCTCCTCCTCTGCTGCCCCTTCCGAGTCCCCCTCCGCCGCACCGTCTCCGACCCCCTCCGGCTCCAAGCCCTCCGGCGGCGCCACGGCCGCGCCGTCGCCGCACCCCAACGCCGCGCCGAAGGCCCTCTCCGCCAGCTCCGTGGCCGCGACCGTCGCCGCGTCCCTGCTCTCTCTGGCTGCGGCCGTGCTGGCATGATCAGGGTCGTTTAGTGTCGGCTAGGGGATGGCGCCTTTGTGAATTGTGAGGGACCGTACTGTGTCTGTGGCCGTATGAGCATTTAGCACCTGGATCTGTGTTTGTTTTACTTTTTCTCTCTTGCCCGTCTGGTTTTTCATGCACTGCTCTGATTCTGTGGATCCTGGTATCCCATGGGGATTTCTGCCGGTTGTCAATTAATTTCCTCATGTTTTGGGCTGTTTGTTCGTCTGAAATCTGGACTAGGAAATTAAGGACTTATTCGGTGTGCTTTACGCTGACTTTGACTCCGCCCCGACCTTGTAGTTGTAGCCGTAATGTAGGGAGCTAGAGCCGATAAAATAAAGAATTACAGCTTTTTAATCTCCTCTTTCTACACCCTTGAGGCCCCGTTTGTTTGACCGGGAATGAACCAGGAAGAATTCCAGGCCGGTATCTTTACTCAATTTATAGAAGCTTTCACTGACCGGATTAATTCCTGACGTCCTAATGCCCCAACCGAACTAGCCCTGATTAGTTCATTTTTCTTCTACTAGGCAGGAGGCATTCGCCAAGGCATGCAGATAACAAGTTGGGAGGCCAGGATTTCCTGACCCATTGAGAGCTTATTTGGATCAAAGAATTCTCAAAATAATTATGAAATGAGTAAATTCTCAAAAAAAAAAAGTTGTCACTTTTCGAGAAGTGAGATGGTTTGTATTTTGATCAAAATTATACAAGCAATAATAACATTTATGATATAAAATAAATATCACTAAATTAATTGTGAAATATATTTTTATAGTAAACATATTCACTATAAGCTCGATCAAACCTAAGCTAGTTTGGCTTGCATAAACCCTATAGTTACGTCCTTTCTGGATAGAGAATACTAGTTAGTGTGGTGGAGGACAACCAACATGCAAGATTGGTGTTATAAAAAAAACGAAAGGACAAAATTGACGGTGAGACACGCTAGGATGAGTCCCTGTTCGCTTGAACTTATCAACCATGATATAATATTTTTCTCTCATAGTAAAACAGCATCAGCAGCCTTATCAGCTACAGAAACCAACAGTCGAACTGTGTGCTAAGAAAAGTGAAAGTGCATTTAATCATATCGTCAGTTTTGGTAAATTATGACAATACAAATAAAGATCTAATAAAATTTGTGGAGTATTTTAATGTTATTATGGTAAACGTTATGAACAAAAATTGGTCACAAATGTTCTATAACCGTTGTCATGAAAGCTTATCTATAAAACTATATAAAATGATATACTAAAAAGTATGATGAGAAATTATGATAATAAGCCATTTCGTAAAATGGTGTGTATAAAAGTTGTGAATATAACTTTATAGTTTTCCTTTTGTTTTGGAAAAGAAAAGTCGTGGGAGTTTATTTGTTTGCTGGTTTTGGTTTAGAATCAAGCGAACCTTCACAAACCAGGTAAAACATATAGAGCAAATTACATGCCAATATTGAAACCAATTTTAAAAAGTTATTTTGGTTGTTTAAAAAATATGAAATTTTGCACATTTCGTAGTGCATAGAAATACTAGGTGTGTTTGGTTGCACCTATAATACACATATGAGGAGAGAACATGTCGTTGTAGCAGAGGCTGTGGTTGGAGCTTTTTCTCCCCTCACATTTTACTATAGATGTAGCCGATGTGACTGTAGCCAAACACCTCCACTATGTACTCACTTGCAAAAGTTAGGATGAAACTTGTTGACGGTAGTTAACAACCACCATAAACCGTCAATATAACATGTATAAGGGTATAAATATAATCACTAATGAAGGTTTAGGGGTTTAAATTAACAAATTACACGAGTTTTGATGAATCTGTATTTTATGCAGGATTTATCCAGAAAACCGTCAAGGTGGACCTACATGTTAGATTTAATTGCGCTTATCCACAGCAAAACGGATACCAGAAGACTCTAGAAGACTCGGGAGGACTCCACACCGAAGCGGAGGACGAGACGCTGCCAGGTGGAGGCCGCCCCACCTATAAGCCACCCGGCCCCTAGGACCCATCTGTCAGCCCCTCGTTGTTATGTCGGTTCTTCACCGTCTCTTAGGTTGCATCTACGCCGCCCTTTAAGTTCGTTTGATCCAAGAGCTCACGTTGGACGTTCCGGCCTATATATACCAGCCCCTGCCACCCCTCTGAGGCATATAGGCATAAGTCATTTGAGAAGACAGAAACCCTAATCATCTTTAGAGCTCCACCATATTCTAGGGAATAGCTAGTTAGGCTAGGTCTAGAGGGAGAAGCAGGCTTTGCTTGGATTCCTGATCTTGTCAAGAGCGTAGTTTGGTATAATCTTTGTACCCCTCTCTCTTTTGTATCTCCATTACTTTTATATGTTAGTTACAATTATTATGACAATATCAGTATTCATCTTATTCATGTTCTTTATTATAATGTTTATGGTCTACTTTGATTATATGCTTAGTATAGTTGGATTATCATTATGTTCATGCATAAGTTCGTATAGCGCTCACTCTAAGGATCCATGGGTGGGTGGTCGACATTGTGTAAGCGTATTGCTTATACGTTGTTTATCTGCGGATACACCCTATATTCTGAGTCATGTGGTAGATCGCGGATGTAATACTCCCGTTGAGTCCTTTGTAGTCCACTCCCCGAATATAGGCGCACGTAGGGTTCGATTACGAAGAAAGAGCAAGTTATGTTTTTAATCTATCTTAGTAATATCCCTTATGTGTACATATGACGGTAATCTTAGCAATGATTACTAGGTATAACTGCACTAATCAATGTATGCTCTGACTTGCAATTAAGAATGAGTTAGGAATTATTACTCTAATATTCTATATGACCATGCTAATGCCATAGAAAGGAGTACTCTGAGTGATTTATTATTATCATTGATCAATACTTATCATATATATATATATTATCCTATGACTTACCTCTGTTATGAGTAAAATATTGGTTACGGTTTACTTCGTTATTAATACATGTCCATGCTAGATCTTCCTTGTGGTAAAAATATAAATAACGATACCTGAAATACTCTCGGATAAAATGCTACAATGATATATTATCTGTGCGCTTGCAGATCCTTTTCATTTATATATTTATTTATTCTTTCTAGTCACATAATTAATAAAGAATTGCTTAGTATTATTCTAGTAGTAATGCTACGTAGAACCAACAAGTATCTATTATATCATCACAAGTATCTCTGATATCATTACTAGGGATGACAACCTAGTAAAATTAGAAGATATATGTTTATAATAGGTGTTTATTTAAAAACAAGTGACACGTTAATAAATACTATCAATCATTTCTGTCGTTGTTGCTAGAGACTAGATTTAAAAATCTATTCTCAGTAGCGACGCTAAAAAATATCAATAAAACTCAAACTAGAAAAAATAATACAAAAATAACAAATTTAAATGCATGTGCAAGCCAAAATCCTCAAACTAGAAAATACACTAGAAAGCAACGCGCGGCGTTGTTGCGTGCCCAGGTGGAGTGTATACCATTTTAATCCAGTTTGAAAAATAATATGGGTATGTGTACTAGAAGACAAAGGCTATGTTCGATTGTCTTATAAGTCGTACTATTTTAGTGAATGAACAATGTTTTTCTCTCACAACAAATCAGCGAATATTATTTTCAGTCATGGTTTTTTAGCAAAGTGAACGGGGCCAAAATCTCTAGGTTTTAAATCTAGGACTTTGTACTAAGATTTTGTCTTATAGTGCACATTCTGCTTGCAGGCGGGCTCGTTCGCGGCCGGCCGCTAACCCGCATCGCTCATCGCAAAGTTTGTTAGCGGGCTTGCGGCCAGCCGCTAAACTATAAACTTTGGGGATAAATTTTCCGCGGACATAACAGACTACGCTGCAAAACCCGCGAGACCCGCTACACTGCAATGGAGGCTACGTGTACACTATCTCTCTGCGCGTACAGTATCTACACATATCCTATAAGAACTTGGAACCTGCAAGCTAAATTTTCATATCCAGTTAATCGACGAGCAAGGATGATACAACTTTGCACTTATCATTTTAATTTTCATATCCCGGCTATATATATATATATATATATATATATATATATATATATATATATATTGTACGTTCTCAAATATAACAACATCAAGAAATACAGGTACAGAAACACAGACACATATCCTGTAACAAAAGTTATTATTACTAAACAAAGACGTAACGTATGGATGCCACTCTGCAACTCTGCATTGACTAAAATATACTTCATGTGCTAGTAAAAAAAAATTGGGGTGAAATTTCGGATGAATTTTACGAAATTTAGTATTTTCGATGGTGGCCGAATTTTTTGTGATACCAAAATTGAAAACCCTGCGTGTCACACGATCATGCTAGAGTGCATTTTCCAAGGCTTAAGTTTTAGTTTTACTACGAATTGATAAACACAATACACAAAGGAGCGTTCTGAATCATAGTGATGCAAATTGATGAACACAAAGGAGCATTCTGAATGACAGTGATGCATAATGCAAAGTCCACGGTGATTGTTGAGTTTAGTACATGTGAAGTTTTGCGTGCACTGTGAGGCATCAGCATCCCCCAGAAGCAAACGCCTGCATTTGCGTGGCAGCCATGTCGGCCCCATCCTCTCCTGCCTCCTCCTCTTCCACTGCAACCATGTCGCCGACGCTTGGCATGGCGGCAAGCATACTTTCCATCTGCGGGGTTTCAAGGTAGAGTGGGTGAAGGAGACGAAGAGCGGAGGAGTACGACACCGTCAGCTTTGACGACAGCGGCTGTGGTTCTTGCGGGTTCTTAGCGAGCTTATTGTGTTGTCCAGTGGGTTTGGCGGACCAAACGATGTTAGGCCACGAGAAACTTGCAGCTGAACCGCGTTGTCCGCGAACGTTGATTTTGCGGGGCGGGTTGGTGGGCAACGTTAAAAACCCGCCCTGCCTGCATCCTGAGTGCACATATACCTAAAATTTATCATTTTTGTTTCTCTAGATCGAGTTTGTATCCTAAATTTTACACATGAGCATATATTTGCATATACTATGAATGTACTAAATTTTGTTTTTTCAATCGCAAAAATATCAACGATTAAAATGTATTTTTTGTTTGAATTCGTTTCTAGGTTCCTCCGTATTTCCCGCGATCACTGGAGGGTGCACGGAGAGACCGCAGCACGTGGGCCGTGCCGCCTTCAGATTGGCTCACCCAACCGGCCCGGCCCAGTCCATTCCTACTGTACTCCTGAAGCCGTGTGCCGTGAAGCAAGAAGCAACCAGCCAATCTGACTATCTGATATCTGACTGAAGCGCAGGTCGCCGTCAGCCCCCACCCCTCCCCTCCAAATCCAACAGCGGCGAGCAAAGCCAAACCAACTAGCTCAGCTCGACAGCTCCGCCCCGCTTCGTTGCCAACTTCCGCTCCAAGCGTCGCGGTCGCGAAGTCTCATCGGCGAGCCCGGTGGCTGTGCCGCCGCCGCGATGGATTCGAGGCCCCGCGAGACTGACGCCCCCGACGACCCGGTCAACGGCGCCGCCCCTCCGCTGGCCGCGGCGGTGACGGCCGCGACCGGGGACGTCGAGATCATCAGGCCCCTCAACGACAAGCGTGGGTACCGCCGCGTCGTGCTCCCCAACTCGCTCGAGTGCCTGCTCATCAGCGACCCCGACACCGATAAGGTCTGCTACTTCGATCGGGCTAGGATGGACCGAACGGGGTTTGGCGGTGGGTTTTGGATTTTGGTGCGAGATTTCGAGGTCGTGAATTGTGCTTTGTTTTGCAGGCGGCGGCGTCAATGAATGTTTCGGTGGGGTACTTCTGCGATCCCGATGGGCTAGAGGGGCTGGCGCACTTCCTTGGTCAGTGCTCTGTTTCGTCTTGCTGATCTGAAGTTCTGAACTCGCTTACTGTACTTCAACTGGACTACTGGAGTTGTTTAGCTTCAGTTTGATCCTGATTTTTGTCCGTAGCTTTTCCCTGATTGGTTGTGAATTGCTCGGAAGTGAGAAATACGTGAACGTTACTATTTTTATTTGCTGTGCTCTCTCGATGTACTGTCGTTTATCACAACTCATGTCCCAATGCTTGTTACAGTGCATTTGAATTTGTATTTGGTTGTGAAACAGATGTTACTTATGTATTCCTGTGATCGTACATGGAAATAAATAGGGTTATATTATAGACATTAGGTGCAAGCAAACATGAAAAAGGAGGATGAGCGATACTCTAGGTCCAATCGAACATGTTTTTTTTTCTTTTCTTTTCTTCTGAAACCTGCTAGATTTCACTTGAGCATCCAAGTCTGTACTGGTATCTGCGAAAAAACGTCTCAAAAAGAACTTTTATCAGCAGTCAAAATATCGTAGAATTTGATGAGTGGAGTGGACTTGTCGTGTTGAGAAGAACTTTCTTGGCATTGGTCGCTAATGTGAAATTTACAAAAGGTATAGATTGCTTGATGATATGTGGACTGGGACACCCCACGATCAGTAATCCTGAAAAATGATGAGTCGTAGAGTCACTTAGTTTGGAGAAACTAAGTGTTTACCCAGTAAATCTGCAAGTATCTCAAGGCTTAGTGGTGAAAAAGCATCAGGACAACTTACTCATCTGAATCCATACATGCATGACAACAAAATAAACATAAATAATGTGATTCATGCTTGGAGAATACTGTTACATGTTGTCGTTTTGATAGTATGCTCCCATTTATGGATGACATATACTAGTTGAAAGTTCAGTTGAATTAGCTGATGAACTCTACAAGTTGTCTGATATTCTATAAATTCTATAAAGTTTCCTGAATTTTATCTATGCATTTTTCGCTTGGTTTGATGCTTTACTTAATTGCCGGGATCCTTTAAGGTGATAATTAAATATTTATGGACTTGATCAATAATATATAAACAATATATCTAATTTGTATTTTTACATATATAGACACTTATTGTTCTGCTTTTATATTGCTTATTAGTTGCAGTTTTACTAACATCTTGATGGAAATTGAATACTATGTGGGTTGTTCTTTTTTGAACCCTATCCTTATGATTGTTTTCAATTTTACAGAACATATGCTTTTCTATGCTAGTGAAAAATATCCAGAAGAAGACAGTTACTCAAAGTACATCGCAGAGGTATGTCTTATTTTGCCAGGTTGAAAATTGTCTTTGTCTTATTTATATTACTTACAAATAGATCCCTGTAAATGACTGTAATTGTTTTATTGTAATTTGTTATTGGATTTAGCTGGCATTGACAATGAAATCCTGCTTTCTCCTTTAGTTCCTGGATGCAGTTCCTCAAGTCGTTAGTAGTGACTGACTTCTTTCTTAGAAGTTTTGTTGGCACAGTGGAACTGTTTTAGAACACGACAAGCAGCGGCTTAATACTAGAATAGTTAAACCATCATAAAACATTTAATTGTAGTGTTTTTGGTTTTACTTGTTTTTAGACCTGAAAGCCTAAGACATTATTTGGTCAGGATAGAATAATATAACTGCAGAGAAAATCAGCTTTCTCTAACTCAAATAACGAGTTCAGTAAAACTACTCGAACTTTTTTTTCCCACAAAAGACAAAATTGGAAAAACAAACGATTGAAAATTGAAAGCTGGTTATAGCCCAAGGAACATTTTCGCTCGATATATCCTAAATCCTGAACTAACAACCTATCGACATTACCAAATTTGCAAAATAAAAAGCACTATATCACAGATCGGTCATCTTTGGTTTGTGCCCAAATGTGCCAAATTTTGATCAAGGTTTCGCTAGCTCACAATTTCACCAAAGATGGGTGAGCATGGAGATGGGCACCAGAGTCTGACATGTGGGACGATCCTCATTTGGACCTGGATGACACCGCGTGACAAGTTTGGGACCTGAAAATGTTATTTTGACAGTTTGGACCTGGATGACACCCTAGGACAAGATTGGGGACTTGAAAAATGCATTTTTAGAGTTCGGGGACCTGATGGTACCCTAGGACAAGTTTAGGACCACCCGTGCATTTTATCTACACTAAATTTATGTCGGTATGTGTTGCTTATGGTATAAGTACTTGGATAATGGGTGTTTTCTTGTAGCATGGTGGTTCAACCAATGCTTTCACATCTTCTGAACACACAAACTTCTATTTTGATGTGAACAGTGATAGCCTGCATGATGCTTTAGATAGGTACCTCCTATTGCTTTCTTTATTTTTACCTTATTTTCCTTGTGTGGAATTTCACTTATGCTTGTGCCATCTAATCTTAGGTTTGCACAATTTTTTATCAAGCCATTGATGTCCCCAGATGCTACACTTAGGGAAATAAAAGCTGTTGACTCTGGTATGTGATATCTTTTTCTCTTTTCTGTTGCTGTTGCTGGAATCACATTTTAAATTCTAACTTCCGTTTTCCACTTTTAGAAAATCAGAAAAACCTTTTATCAGATCCTTGGCGAATGAGTCAGGTACTTGCATTTTCCAAGCTCACGTTAAATATGCAGACAGCTTAGTTACAGAGATCTGATTTTATTTAAACCTGTCCTTTCTTGTTTTCAGCTTCAGAAGCATCTTTGTGCAGAGAATCATCCTTATCATAAGTTCAGCACTGGTTGTTATCTGAACAATGTTTTTTTCCCTTCCCTTTCTGTTCTTACATTACATACAATTAATGACATTGAGAATACACTGCTCACCTTGTACTTAATTTTATATGTCTTTCATTCCTTGAGTAACATGATATCTATTCATTTTGGCATTCATACTGGTTGTTCCCAGAAATCTTTTATTTCAGTTTTTGTTTGTGATAGAATCTTGTAACAGCACAAAAGCTCCCAATAGATATGAGTTTCTTACTGTTAATATTAAAATCAATGGAGTTCATAATATAAACTGAAAGTGACTGAACCGTGACTTGGTGCTCTTGGTGGGTTTCAACTCTACCCTACCCCAACTTGCTTGGGACTGAAAGGCTATGTTGTTGTTGTAATGGAGTTCATAATATAAAGACCTTAACATTTTGAGAATAACTAAATGAATACTTGACTGTGTGAATGATGACTTGGTCAATGACTCAGTCGTGTGGTACGAACCTCCTACAGCCATCTTAGATGTCTTCTCTTTGCTTCAACAATAAATGAGGTTTCAGTGTAATAAAGAGTTTTTTATGATATATGCTTCACTGCTTGCTTGAATATTGGACAATTCCTTAGAACTGATTTTCACTGCTTGCTTGAAATACTGGACAATTCCTTAGAACTGATTCTCACTGCTTGCTTGAAATATTGGACAATTCCTCAACTGATTTCAGAATTCTTATTGATTAGGAAATTGGAATACTCTTGAAGTTAAAGCAAAGGAGAAAGGATTGGACACAAGGCTTGAGCTTATTAAATTTTATGATTCACACTACTCAGCCAACTTGATGCAACTTGTCGTGTATGGAAAAGGTTTTCCATCAAACTTTTCTGCATTTCCTTACAAGTTATCTGCCGCTAAAACCTTTTTTTGGTTATTTTCCTTCTCAATTTTCATATCTTTTGTATTTGCAGAGAGTCTCGATAGCTTGCAGAACCTTGTTGAAAATAAGCTCTGCGATATTAGAGATGTTGGGAGGAAGCCATTTTCATTTCCTGGGCATCCATGTACACGTGAACATCTCCAGGTTTACTATTTAGTATTTACATTACAGGATATGAGTTGACAAGTGAGACTTGCAGTTGCAGATGCTTGTACACTTGTTTATGCGAGTTGTTCCCTTGCAGATTCTTGTCAAAGCAGTTCCCATTAAACAAGGGCACACTTTGAGAATCCTATTTCCAATCACTCCCAATGTCCAGCGTTACAAAGAAGGCCCTTGCAGGTACATTAGCCATCTGATTGGTCATGAAGGAGAAGGATCTCTTTTTTACATACTTAAGAAGTTGGGTAAGTTATCCTTCTGTGGCCTTTGTTGCAGTTTAGGAATCTTTACTTCATGCCAGAAGAGGGAAAAGACATGTGTTTGCTTGGGCTTTTGAGTTGGGTTACCTCCGTGTGTGTTAGTTCTAAATCTTTTATGTCCGAGTAGTGAGTCTATATATCATGTTCATGTCATTCCCAGAGCCCTAATTTTGTTTCTTTATTTATTTTATGTTACATTTATCTGCAGTATGCTTGGATGAATAAGTGTGGTTATGTTTTTGTCTGCTTCATTCCTGTTAGTGTTATAGTGTTACATACAAAGTTAATAATGAAATAAACAGCCAAGTAGCTCTTTGTATGGCATGACCTTTTGAAACCTTTGTGCTTCTAATGTTCGTTAGGAATCACTTAAATCTGAAAGGAATAACCATGGTATCTTAGGCCTTTAGAGTAAATAACTGAAGGAACTGTGTTTACGTACATTTGAAGAAGACATGTCAAAGAGAAACAAACTCCCTATGAGTAAAGAAAAGGAACAACATTATTTTGCCTCAGTTTTGTACAAATTTCTTTACTGTTGTTACTCCTCTTTTATGTATGAAACTTGTTTGCTGATATTCTCATTCCTCCCCAAGAGAATTCTGTTTTTTATCCTCTTTATTTGGTCATCATGGTTAAATTCTATTTCTGTTGAATATTCAGGATGGGCTATGAGTTTGGAAGCTGGTGAAGGGGATTGGAGTCATGATTTTTCTTTCTTCTCTGTTATTATTCAGCTCACAGATGTAGGCCAGGGTGAGTTATAATTTCTGAAGGGCCATTTTGATATCAACTTTTGAGATGTAAGTGATAATCACAAATCTGATTACTGGTGATAGAACACATGGAGGATACTGTTGGACTATTGTTCAGATATATAAAGTTGCTGCAGACCTCTGAAACTCCTAAGTGGATATTTGATGAGGTAATTTAGTCTGGAACACATGTTTTTATTATAAAAAATGAATAATATTGTACATTACCAAATTTGAATCATTTTTATGAGTCATGAGTTGAAGCTTTGTGCATGCATGTCAGAGATTCTTTCAGTTTCCATGAATATATTAGTATATTTCAGAATTTAGTCGATCAGGCCACTTACCCTTTATCAGTAATACCAGCCTAACACTATAATATGAACAAACGTCTGCATTGAAAATAATTTTTCATGAGATATAGTACCATGTTATGATTTGTTCAACCCTTGTTCTTATTTCGTAGTTGTCTGATATATTCTACTTCAGTTAATTGAACCTACAGGACAGTTCTGATTTTGGGGTATACTTGTAATGTAATGCATGTTCCTTTGTCACCCAATTAAACATGGGTCTTGGCTTGAAAGCTGAAAAAGTCATTTATGTTTGTATCATCAACACTTGCATAACTAAAATAGGCTTCTCTGATTTGCGAAATAAAATGATCAAGTCATACAAATGCATTGTTCAACAATGTAAAAATGTTGATCTCTCTCTCTCTCTCTCTCCTTTGCTTCAGATTTTTTTCATGTACTTTTTTGTGTACTAATACATTTTTGTTGGACTTTGAAGCTTCAAGCTATCTGTGAGACAGGATTCCACTATCGAGACAAGAGCCCTCCTATCAATTATGTTGTAAATATTTCTTCGAACATGCAGGTGCTTCAGTTATGCTTATCTTAAATTTATCTTCACAACTGTTGCCCTTTTGTATACTGGATTTATTTGCACATGCCTGTGGTAACATCTGATGCACTGTAGTGCAGTTCACATATATTTAATTCATATCTTGACTTTTGCAATCTATTGTCTTAGTGAATAGCTTTCTATACAATGAGTAAAGCTTATTGATTGAATGAAAGAAAAGCATTGTATCAGCATTTTCTTTAATTTGCATGCCATTGAAGAACCAAAATAATATGTAGAAACATCGTACATTTGATTTCCACAGAACTATACATTTTGTAATTTCCATGGTTGTGGTAATCATATGTCTAGGCACATAGCAATCTGTGTGTGCTGAATATTGATCTATATGATCTATATGTAGGAAAATTCACACAAAATTATACAAATGTTGTACAGTGTGGTTTTATATATAATATTGGGATATGGTAGTTCCCTAGATTTAGTATAAGCTATTTTATATAGTAAGCTATCCCAAATGCTTATTTTCCTTTTATAATAACGGTAAACTATGCCACCCATTAATGGATCCTTTTTGTCATTACCACAGTTTTTTCCACCAGAAGATTGGTTGATTGCATCATCTGTGCCATCAAAGTTTTCACCAGATGCTATTCAGAATATTTTAAATGAATTAACTCCTGAAACTGTAAGGTAATTCTCAGGGCACTACATGAGCATACAAATTACAAATGGAGAAATTTATTTTCTTTGCCTTTCATTTTGTTTTGTTCCCTCTGTTTAAATCTCTCTTTGCTCTCCGTATTTCCTATCAGAATATTCTGGGAATCGAAAAACTTTGAAGGGCAAACAAACTTAACAGAGCCATGGTATGGTACATCATATTCTGTCGAAGCTGTCCCTCCATCAATCATACAGGTACATTTTTTGACATTATTACTTTCTGTATTGAAGCTAGAAAAGTACCTGTGTCTTATATCCTGTAATTATTTTGCAGAAATGGGTAGAGAAAGCCCCTGAGGAAGATCTACACCTGCCAAAACAAAACATCTTCATTCCAAGAGATCTTTCATTGAAAAGTGTAGAGGAAATGGTAATATTTTGAATGGCTTGCCTGCTTAACTTTATCTGGTTTGCTTATGCTCTATCTCTCTGTTACATCCAGGTAAGTTTTCCTGCTATGCTGAGGAAGACACCATTTTCAAGACTCTGGTACAAGCCCGATACAATGTTTTTCACACCCAAGGTTTATATCAAGATGGATTTTCATTGTCCACTGTCTCAAAGCTCACCCAGGTCAGCAGTTCTTACTGATGTATTCACGAGGTTGCTTATGGACTATCTGAATGATTACGGTATGTCAGACTCCCTTAGATGTCTGTTTTTATGGTTCTTCCAAGTTCCAACAAAAGCTGATCAATTTTTTTAGTGCATTCTTTCACTTGGTTCTCATATAATCTATCATGGGTATATTATATTGGATACATCATGTATTAGATACTAGAAATGGGAACTGTGGAAAAAAATTCTTATTGGAATGTGTTAGCAATAATTCATATGCCTGTATATCAGTTAATACAATCAGTTAAAGAAATAAAAAAATCGCATAAAATACCAATATGGGATTCCCATGAAATGAGTTTCACAAATTTTATCCCTTGCCCTTAACTGATGGATAAGTCATGTGTGACTGGTCTTTGTGGGGCTGTTGTTGCTCACATGGTCCTTGTGGCTGTTTTTCTGTTTTTAGGACATCATCTTAGACTAGAGGACAGCATCTTAAAGGACAGCATCTTAGACTAGAGGACAGCATCTTAGCTAGGACAGCATATTAGCATCTTAGACTAGCATCTTAGACTAGCATCTTGGCATATGCTTGGCTGGCTAGCAGCCTATAAATATGTAACCCCAACCCCTCAGGTTGGTATGGCATTTGTGTGAGCTTGTGTGAGAAATAGACAAGAAAATTGCCCCAACTCCTAGTGTCATCCTCTCTCGATGAGAGTAAGAATTCTCCTACTACCAAGAGTGAGAATTCAGCGACTAACATTAACTTTCTGAGATACATGTTTTGTCATGAGTCAGGGATTGTATCGTGGAAGGTTGTTTCTGTTTTTTAAGTTAACTTGTTCCAGACTTCCTTCCACTCTAGCTTCTGTAATGGTACACCAATTTTGTTTTTGCTTTCAGCTTATGACGCTCAAGTTGCTGGCCTCTATTATGCTGTTAAGCCAAATGACACTGGTTTTCAGGTTTGTTTTTTCAAGTAACTCACACACATATAATAGTCCTATAATTTGGTTATTTTTATTTTTTGACTATTGTAAAAATATAGTACTTGGACTGATATAATACTTTTGGATTTTACTTGAGCATTGGCCCTAATGTACAACATGCATGCTCACACTCAGTTTGAAGTTTACAGTTTCTATGGTTTCTTTGCTGTTTGGTGCTTTTACAATGTACAAATCACATTTTGTTGGGTTGTAAGTTCTGACACCCCTTGCAATGCTGATGTGCTCACATAAACTGCATGGTACCAGAGTGCCTGCCTGATGTAGTTCCTTGATGGCGGATGCATTTTTCTACTTAATATTCAGTGGGTTACTACCATACAATTCATAACATTGATACAAAATGAATTTCTTGTGTTGTGTTCTTTTTGAAAACTTAATGCTTTTCCTTCACCATTTGATGTCTGTACACTGTACTATCTTGTAGGTAACTATGGTTGGCTTCAATGACAAAATGAGAACCCTTCTGGAGACTGTTATTGGCAAGATTGCAGAATTTAAAGTTAAGGTTGACCGTTTTTCTGTGATAAAGGTAATCAACAATAGTTCCCTGCAAATTTGCATGTTGTTTTGTTGTTATTTTGTGAGTTGTATGTCCAGAACTTCTAGGAGTCCTTAGGAGTTGGGACTTGGTTCACATTCAAATATCCAATTTGGAAACTCCAATTTTAACCCTCAGAATTTTTGTTCCCCTGTCTGTCTCTTACAGAACAAAGAGCCTTCTCAACGTCTCATTTTAATTCATTAAACACAGTGCAAGGATCAAATATTCTATCTTGTTGTTTTTTTAATGCAAAAGGTAATTTGTGGCTGGGACTGAGTACATGTGCAATAATGTGTCCTAAGTTTTTTTTTTGTCACCCTGTTGTAGTATGTTTCTCAACAAAAAAACCTTCGTAGTCCAGTGGTTTGACTAGGGGCTCTTGGTGGGTTTCAACTCTAGCCTACCCCAACTTGCTTGGGACTGAAAGGCTAAGTTGTTGTTGTAGTATATTTCTATGTAAAGCAAATTATCTGAATATCTATGGCCAATCAACATGGCATACATTTGTTTCTTGTTATTTGAATTGTGACTTTTATTTTCTAATAATAGTCGAATTGATAGTATCTTTTACCCTAGGCGTTCTAGAATATCAAAAAGTGTTTCTGGTCATGCCTTATTATTCCTCTCAACCTACTGTACTTGCTTCCAGGTGATGCAATTGCAAGATGAGACTGTCTTTCTATGCACTTTGTATGAACTAAAGGCGTCTTCTTTTTTGCCATCAGGAAGCTATGACAAAGGAGTATGAGAATTTCAAATTTCGGCAGCCATACCAGCAAGTATTGTATTATTGTTCGCTGATACTGGAGGACCAAGCGTGGCCATGGGATGAGGAATTTTCTGCACTTTCCCACCTCGAAGCTAGTGATCTAGAATATTTTTTGCCTCAGTTGCTGTCAAAGACCTTCATTGAGTGTTATTTTGCAGGTTTATCAATTTATTAGTTGACTTGAATATTTGATATGTCCTCAAAAGAATTTGATTCAATACCCTGATTTCATATTTTTTTGTCTTAGACTTGAGGATGCTCTGCATTGTTAGCCTTCTTGATTGCATATATCAATTTCAGGTAATATTGAATCCAATGAAGCAAAAAATATCATTCACCATGTTGAAGATGTCTTATTCAATGCACCCATTAGTGCTTGCAAGCCACTATCCCCATCACAGCATCTTGCCAAGAGGATTGTAAAGCTTGAAAAGGGTTTGAGATACTATTATCCAGCAATGTGCTCAAATCACCAAGATGAAAATTCTGCCCTTCTGCATTATATTCAGGCATGCTTTCTATACTTGTTCTTCTCAAATGATTGTTTTCAGTGAAAAGTACCTCCAAGTAATACCAATTGATTCTAAAAACGTGATATTGGCAGATTCATCTACTGAATATGAACGATTGTTTTCAGTGAAAAGTACCTCTAAGTAAATAACAATTGATTCTAAAAACGTGCTATTGGTAGATTCATATAGCAAATTTAGGCGGTTAACCTAAGGGATGTCATAGTGTTACACCATGTTAACTGTGTGGCGTAGTCGATGCTCATGTAGTCCTGTTCTTTAATTTTGTGCATGCGTGTATCAATTCCATTGTGCCAGGACTAAGGATTTGCCACCTGCCACACAATGTAATGCTATAGCAATATCCTCATCTGTGCAGACTCATCAGGATAATGTCAAGCAAAATGTTCTACTTCAACTACTTGCTCTTGTTGGCAAGCAGCCAGCTTTTCATCAATTGCGATCAGTTGAGCAACTTGGCTACATAGCGCTGCTTAGGCAAAGGTACAAGGAAGCCTTTCTTATTTTATGATTATTTGAGAATATGTCTTCTGTCCTTTTCTTTTTGTGTGATGCATTTGGCAATAAAATGTGTACGCGTGTTCACCCAGGAATGATTCAGGTGTCCGTGGGTTGCAATTTATAATCCAGTCAACTGTGAAGGTAAATATACTAATTTTATCCATTTCTGTTATTTTATTTTTTAAATCTCCTCTTCAGCTCTAATAAGTTCAGTACAATTTTTAATAGGATCCTGCCAATCTGGATGCCAGAGTTGAAAATTTTCTCAGGATGTTTGAAGGCACTCTCTACCAGATGTCTGATGCAGAGTTCAAGGTTAGACGTGCTTCTCTTTCCATGTAATTACTGTTTTATCAAGCTCTCAGCATCCTGTTTCAATCTTTAATGATGTTGGTTCCTATTTCCTGGTGATTGCGGGATGTTTATCTGCTAACATATTAATGCTTTAACCCATACATAAACTGCTTAATTAGTAGTGAAAAATTACATGCTTGGAAATCATAGTTTAAAAATCTATGCTGTCTGGCACCAGGTCCTGATTCTTTTATTTTACGGACAAGTAAGATAAAACTATCGCAAGTTGTGTTCTCAACCAGAATGTTAAAGCAAGTTGCATTTCCAACCACCGATACTTATTATTAATCCTGAAGGATATATTACTCTTTCTTCACCCATGCGTTGGTAATGAACAAGGGTAGGATGCATAAGTGAAGTATCTTATCTTATTCCCAACTCCCAAGACGTTTACTGTGTCTTATTGTTGGTTCAACTTTTGCTGTGCTATGGATTTTCTTTGATTGGAATTATGGCAGCTTGTTTCTGGTGTTTTCTGATCTTTTGGCACTTAGGCTCCGAGCATTAGCATCTGGAGCACCATGGCCAGGCCTCCAGTGGAAATTATAACATTGGATTGAACATTCTAAATTCTAACCAGAAGTTGTTAACAGAGAGACTGGCACTTTTATTAGGAGAATCGTTTGATTTTTTTTTTCAGAAATAGTGCCTGCATGTGTTATTATTATTATGAGGGAAAAGCCGGTCCCAAAACACTTCAAAGTAGAGATACAAAAGTGGGGAAAAACCCAACAAAAACACAGAAAGTCACAAAACTAGGGACATATGTGAGGATTCAGCTTTCTATCACAAAAACCCCAAACAAAAAGTCACAATGCAACCTGTTTGCTTCTCTTACAGCATTTTATGGTTTATGTATGTACCTTATAACAATTGTATGGCCTCTCCTGCAGAGTAATGTAAGTGCTCTTATTGATATGAAACTGGAGAAATACAAAAATATCCGTGAGGAATCAGCTTTCTTCTGGGGAGAGATTTCTGAAGGAACCCTCAAATTTGATAGAAAACAAGAAGAGGTGTGTACTCATTGATTGTCTTCGTGTATTGTTTTGTGAACTCAAGTCTCAAGATAATTCTATGATGGCAGGTTGCTGCACTGAGGGAGCTCAAGAAGGAAGAGTTGATAGACTTCTTCAATGATCATGTGAAGGTCAATGCACCACAAAAGAAGATTCTTAGTATACAAGTGTACGGTGGTCTCCATTCTGCCGAGTACGAAACAATAGTGCAAAATGCTCCGCCACCGCAGTCGTGTGAGATAACTGATATTTACAGCTTCAGGAGATCGAGGCCTTTATATGGATCATTCAGGGGAGGTATTGGTCAGATGAAGTTATAATTCAATATTTTCTCATCTTTCTGTGAAATTCTGAAAAAGAATAATATTTCTGTTCAACCACTTCTGTTGGACTAGGCTGACCTGCATCTACGTTCATAGTTTATTTCATCGAGGACACCATAGTAGGGCATTTATCTATGTTTTTTAACTATATTCATTAAAATATTCTGATATTATGAGATTTCACACCATGTCTGGTTGGTCTGAGATACGACATATATTAGACTAAAAAGAGAAAAAAGGAAATGTTGTGTTAATCAACCAAGCTTGGATTATTGGAGACGGTATATGGGTACAAGTGCAGAAGTTTGACGTTTTCCTCGATGGAAACCTGAATTTCTAACGAAATCACAAAACACCAGCTATGCCAGTGCCACTGAGCTAAAAGGAATTCTTAACGAAATGGAATTGCTAACGAAATTAGGAACATGCCACTGAGCTAAAAGGAATTCCTAAACCAATTTAGGAATAGTGGTAACCGGTAACCAGTTTCGGGTACCAACTATGCCTTCGACTGCTCACGCACCTACTATAAGAACCCGGGCTAAGAGGAGATGAGGTTGTGGGTGGAGGAGAAGAAGCTGGAGCTAGAGGATTCCAAAACACACACACACACACACACACACACAAGTAAAGGCGACAAATCCACTTCGTTATTACGCCCAACTCAAGATCGAGTTTGCATGCATCAGAGTCACTCTAGGACACAATAATAACTAAATCTCAAGCACATAACAAGTTGTGAGTAAGTAATTAATTTCTTAGCCGTGCCTTTATGCATGGACCCAGCTCTCAAGAGCCCAAGTCATCGACACTATCAAGTCTATCATGGACTCATCGCCTCATCCTCTAGAAACAAGGCTTCGCCTCCACCATCACCAACATCTCCCCCGTTACCTCCTTTTCTACCCATAAAGTTCGTATTAACGCACACGCAGTATTCTGGTATCACCCCGCCCCCGCGACAGAAACCGTTGGTGTAGCCCTTGCTTTTACAAGATCTGGCACATTCGCCTGGATAGCACGGGAGGTGATTCACCTTGAAGGGAGGTGATTCACCTTGCTTGGCCTCAGCACCTGCGCAATCAAATGAACGAACCAATCAATATGAATGGAGTTTGACTATCATGTTATGATGTTAATATATATCCTAGTTATACATATTCATCAGCTAAAGCCCAGTGACTAGACCGTACGTACCATTCATTTGTTGCATGCTTTGGAGTTTGGATGAAGTCGATCCTCCCTCACCCAAGGTTAGAAGGGCTAGCACTAAGGCCGCCGACGACGACGACGCTAAGGCCTTCCCTTTCATGGCTGAATTGAGCTTTGCTTTAATTTGTCAGGTGAGAAGATCGAAGAGAAAGAGAATGACACCTCTGAGTTCATCCATTACCACTATTTATAACAAAATGGATGTGCATATCCTTGCCTCGGATTCTCATTCATTAATTAGATGATTTATTACATGAGTAGATATGATACCTTGCTACCAGCAGCAGCAAAATGGATATACACATCCTTTTCGTCATTGCGTGGCATGTCTTTTTTTTATATAAATAAATCCATCTAAGTACCCTTTTCATTCTCCCTGCACGCATCTCAGTCGAGAAAATCGTGCCTTTTAATTTCATACAGTTATAAATATATATAGAGATTTATATTAATCATATGTACAGATTACCACTGAAATCACGTTTCTTTTCTTCTTTCTTTTGTTTTATAAAAGATTACCCCAACGGAAATATGATTTAAATGGCCCTCTAAATATATGAAATTAAATTACCACGTCTATTATCATGATATAGATATATATAGATATAGATATAGATATAGATATAGATATAGATATATAGATATAGATATGGCAGTAACCGGTGGTTCGCACCTAACTTCAACTTTATTTAAATATAGATAAAGATATATATATATATATATATATATAGATATATAGATATATAGACATGTAATACTAATACAGATACAGATACAGATACAGATACAGATGTAGATAGAGATAGAGACTTCAAATAAAAAAAATTGTCAATTGTGAAGTTGTGTATAGACAGATATCATGGAAATATATATTGTATGAAGACATTATGAATTTTCAAAGTTGATCTACAAGTTCGGATGAAAGAAATCTGAGCCTTCTCTAAAAAAATGTATTTCTATATACGGCTTGGTTAGTGGGATTCGGTGGAAGTCTTTATAGAGGCGGTTGGGGATTGAATGGCCTGTGTCCAAAAATGTAAGCCTCTATAAGTCGTCTGTAGTAGTGGCTATTACTAATAATGATTCTTCTAGAACTAACTATACGAACGAGCAATTTCATATAAAAATCAATTGTTTCCTAGAACCTTATTATGTGATAATTCTATTACAGGTTGGATTTTATTTGACCAATGGGGGGATTTTCTCTATTTACTGTACGGTGAATTTATAATTAGGAATCAAATATAGAAATATATTTTCACAGTCGGTTGTTAGTTACTCGGGAGCTAGGGACGGATCTTATGAGCAGTTAACCCTATAATTCTGACATGGTGGTTAAAAAACAAATCGACTGCGTTGTAATTTTAATTTTTAATCCACTGTAGTAACATGTCAACATGATAGATTCAGAAAAAAAAATCAACCGACACACAGGTAAGTGACACAACCATTTCATTATTATCACTACCTCAAGATCTGCTAGCTAGATGACATGCACAAACACCACAAGATATGACTCTCGGACACACAATAACGAAAGTTCAATCATGTCCAGGCAGCTCTATCTTCTCGCATGTCCGGCGCAACGGACCTCTTTGGCAGGGCTCCGGTAGGTCCGGGTCCGTCCTGTCGGCCGCCCAGAGGCCGACACCCGCCACTGTTCACAGGAGCCGATTTTCTCTCCCCTTCTTTTTCCTCTCTCACTGACACGCGCGGAGCCGCCGGAGCTCGTTTTTCTGGCTCCGCGGCTCCGGCTCCGGCTCCGGCTCCCGCAGCCTCCTGTCGGCCTCCCAGAGGCCGACACCCTGCTACAGTGCCCGGAGCCGGAGCCGGCCGGATGCCTGCCAAAGAGGTCCTACTCGATCGGTCACCACTCCCTTCACCAGTACCGCTGCCTCCGTCACCTGTGCATTCCTTAGTGCACGCGCACTTCCGGTCAAGTTGGGTGCAGTAGCCGTCGGTGTAGCCCTTGCTGATGCAACATGGGAGACAACGCCCTGTTCGCTTGGCTTATAAGCCGTATTATTTTAGCCAACGAACAATATTTTTCTCTCACAACAAATCAGCAAACAATATTTTTAGCCATGGCTTATCAGCCAAGTCGATTGTTGGCACACAACATCCCAGGGAGTCACCCATTGGCATACCTTGGCCTTGGCACCTGCTGAATCAGATGAACCAACCAATCAATATTTTTTCATCAGCTAAAACCGCGAGTGACTACATGATTCATTTTTTTTCATGTTTTTGTACGTAGGATGAAGTCGATCACTCACCCAAGGTCAGGAGGAGGAGGACCAAGGCAGTCGTCGCTGCAATTTTACCTTTCATGGCAGAACTGATACTAAGCAGAGGTAGGTTTGTTTTGTTGGGTGATGAAGAGTTGAAGATGAAGGAAAGGGCACAAATGCCTATTCATAGTGTCCGAGTGCATGGATCGGACCATCGGTTACCGCCGGGTATCCGGAAAAGGATATGCATAACCTTGTCTTGGATACTACTCAGCAAGTAGGAATTATTTTTATTTTTGCGACAACAAGTAGTAATTAATTAATAAGAGGAAAAAATAACTAGTGTCCGTGTATACATAGAGCATTGACTGCCACCTTATTTTATCTTATCTTATTATTACTAAATGAAAATATTCCAAATGGAACATTCACATTAGTCCTCACAAGACACGTTAGAAAAAAAATTAAATTCCACAAATTCTCACAAATACTTAAATATCTAGTATTTAATTTGGTAGTAGTAGACTTTAATCATCATCACCAATAACAACCATTTGATCTTTTTGTGTTTTATAAAAGATTACCCATCAGAAATATGATTTAAATAGCCCTCTAAATATGAAGTTAAATTACCACGGCCGCGCTTGCTCGAGCACTTGCAACATAAAGTATTTGCTGCAACATACGTCCAAAACAGATAAAATATTTACAATATATGCTTGCAACATATGTGTATGGCCACTGCAACATATGCAACATCCAGATAAAACATTTTGCAACATATGTTTGAAATAGCTGAAACATTTGAAACATACACTTGCAACATACGTGCATAGCCGGTGCAACATATGCAACGTCCAGATAAAACACTTGCAACATATGTTTGAAACAGCTGAAACATTTGAAACATATACTTGCAACATACGTGTATAGCCATTGCAACATATGCAACACCAGATCTACTTTTGCAACATCCTGATAAAACATATGCAACATACATATGAAACGCATGAAACATACGGTTGCAACATGTGCTCATCTACTTGCTGGCTTCCCCCCAATGGAGGCTCATTGATGCGGAGCTCGACGCCGGCGCGGAGCTCGAGGTCGCCCATGGTCGATAGGCGGATGGATCGCGGCCGTGGCGGGAGGCGCGAGGCGCGGGCGGTCTTGCGACGCGAGGCACGGTGTGAGGCGCAAAGCGCTGGGATCGGCGGGTCGGGTCGGTCTCCGAAAGGACGGACGTCTGAGGGTATCATTATCGATCCGAAAAAGTATATGCATAACCTAGTCTTGGATACTAGTCAGCAAGTAGTAATTAAAAGGAAAATTTACTAGTGTCCTTATATACATAGATCATTGTCTGCCACCTTATTTTATCTTATCTTATTACTAAATGAAAATGTTCCAAATGGAACCTTCACATTAGTCCTCACAAGACACGTTAGAAAAAAATTAAATTCCACAAATTCTCGCAAATACCAAAATATCTATTATTTAATTTGGTAGTAGTAGACTTTAATCATCATCACCAATAACAATCATTAGATCTTTTTTTTTGTTTTATAAAATATTACCCATCGGAAATATGATTTAAATAGCCCTCTAAATATGAAATTAAATTACCACATGTATTATTATGAATAATAATAATAAAGTAGATATAGATATGGCAGTAACCGGTGATTCACACCTAACTTCAACATTATTTAAATTTAAATATAGATACAAATATAGATATATAGACATATGTAATATAGATATAGATAGAGACAAAGATAGAGATATGTGGATATAGATAGATGGATGGATGAATATATTTTATATTAAAGATATGAGTGGTTTTCATGCTTTTGTTCCTCTAGGAAATAGAAGTGTTCTGTCCAGACGTGCTCTACGTACTTTCGTTTCTTTTTCGAATTTTATGGTACAAACGTCCACAAACACGCATGTATATTCAACCTCTATGAATATATGCACCCAAACTCTATCACTACAAGCACCTCTAAAAGATTGAGTCAAGCTGGTTCCACCACAAGGAAATAACCTAATAATCAGCTCAACTATGGTCAGGTGTTGTGTTATCTCTTCTTTACAATGCAACACATATTCTCGACAATGTTCAATGCAAATGTTATATGTCCATTTTTTAACATCTCAATACGTATATTCACTAATGTATATATATCTGCCGCCATCTTAACGCTAACTTCGGGTTGTTTGGATGAGACATAATTAATTTTTGGCTGTTAATGACTAGATCTAATTGTTAGCTGGTTAAAATCAACTAATGGCTATTTGATACATGAGCTAATATATGGTAGGATTCTCGGTATCCTTTGTGACCGATATGTGCGCGAGGTATATGAATATGAAAGAGGTAAGTGGGTGAACTATTTTGGCCTTTTCTCAATTCATTAGCTCCTTTTTATAATCCGCTAATAGGCTAACACAATTAGCCCTCGCGTCCAAATTAAACCTTTATTTGTGCGTGACTTTCGTCATCAACAAAAGTTTTCACAAATCTCAGAACAAATCCACGCAGACACAGGTTAGATAAGCAAAATCGCTTAAGAAAATCATATCATTTACTATTTTCTTTTATATTTATTATATACTCATCAACCTAGGCATACATGCGAGAGTCGCCTTTGCCATGCGGCATGAGCACACATAATCAGTCAATCAGAAGCCTGGCGACCGGAGTGTAGCATCAGCTCTCTCTCTCTTGCATGGCTTAACGCAGAAGCACTGCTTGAACGGCGGCCGGCCGTTGCAGAAGCCCCCGGTGTAGCTCTCTGACTCTTTGACGCAGGCGGCGTTACAATCCGTATCCTGAAGGCACCTCCCTTTGTATTCATGGCTTCGCGACTTGCAAATAGGAGTAGGAGTAGGAGTATGCGCCTCCGCAGCTACATGATGTTCAACCAAATAATCAATCAATCGCGAGTCAGGATATTTGGATGGATAAAATCATCTAACACAACTGCTGCCTATACTCATCATGTTCAATTTAGCTTTTTTTTTTTTGCAGGGATTGGATGAATTTACTCACCAAAGGTGAGGAGGAGCAAGACCAAGACAGTTGCTGCTGCGACCTGGGCCTTCATGACTGAAATTAGGCTGTGATTTGCTTTGTCGAGCGAGGAGGAAAGGAAGGGCGCAGGTGTCCATTTATACTGCTGCGATGACGCCTTCTATCTTGGTTTTCGATACTTGCATATTAAGTAAAGAGATTTGTTTATGTGCATTTATTAAATGCATATCTTTTCTAATAAATTGCATATATCTTTACAGATCATAGTGATATAGATCATAGTACAACGTGGACACTCACCTAGCGAAATGCACACTTAACTTTATATTCATCTTTTGTCATTATCAGCATGGCAGTCCGAAGAAGGGTATGAAGTTGTCCATCATACTAGGTTGTTGTGTCATGGCGCAAAAAGTCCGGGAGGACAAGTTTGCGTGTTGTGGGCTGTGATTGGCTGAATGTGCTTGCGTAGGGGTGAGCAACGGTCAAGACTAATGCCATTCCGTTTGTGACATCGGTCTAGTTTGATTTGGCCCATGTGTATAATGTGAGATGGTTGGGGGTCTCATCTCGATTGTTTAGAGTGGATTACACCAACATATAAGGTTTCTAGAGTCCACCATCAACTTGATGTTAACCCTTTTACACGAAGTAATAAGAATGAAAGTGTAAGTAGGTTGGTGGTGAAAGGACCAAATAACCCAAGAGGGGGATCGAAGTGAACTGGACTCTAAAAAATTAAAGCAACAAACTTTAACCTATGCAAAACAAAACCCCCAAAGTTTCTTAGCTCTTAAGTTCTTCTACAAAGCAATAAATTAGATAGTCCTTACTCCTTAGGGCCAACATACAAACGATATCCTTAGCAAAGTTTCACACTAAGATAAGACTAAAGTCCTTCATCAAGCCATCTATGCGTTGACAAACACCAAGAGTAACTAGTCTTCAAGATTTTTCTCAAGAAAACCCAAGCAAGAATACCGATAGCACTCTGGGCTAACACTCCAATCCCACTCAGCTTGGGTGGCTCACCAAATGCTTCACAAACCTCCAAGTGTTGAGCACAATAGGGTTGAAGAGTTGCTCCTAATTAGCAATGGTGCTCTTCCTCGCTCAACAAATGAAGCAAAGCAAAGCCTACGATAGAGCAACAACAGCTGCTGCCTGTTTTTTCTACCAGTTGTGACAGATATTAACATTATCTTAACAAACCATACTTTAGTTTCTAGAATCTGGAAAGAGAACCGATGGACAATGGCTGCTTTGCCTTCAATCCAACGTACTATACTTGTTCTGTGGGCAAATGTTGAGCCCAAAAGTGTAGAGTATAATCAAATTGATGAAATGGGAAAAGGAAAGGAAAAATTACAAATTACAAAGGTTTAGAGTACACACGAAGCTTTACACTCTTGACGTTCCTCCATGTTCCCTCTCGACATGCTCCACAAGCAACACAGGATCTCGGAACCCCTTGCTGCATTTTGGGCAAACATCAATCGTCACCCGGCCATGACTTGGTTGTGAGTTCATCTGGTGGGATTTCTCAACATGTTCAATTAAGGCCCCCACGGTGGAAAATCTTGCTGGGCAGTGAACACATTGCTCCACAAGGTCACCACTGCTGCTGCTGCTATTTGGGGACATCCCATCCTTTGCCTTCTGGAAGGCTTGGCTAGTCACAGTGCTCAGCTTCTGCATTCCAGCTTCGGCTGACGATTTGAAATTCGTTGCTGCATTCACAAGACTGGAGCTCCACCATGAAGAGCCATTGTTGTTACTGCTATTTGAGCGTGTCTCTGCTTTCTGACTTCTCCTTAGCATGCTTACAAAGGGAAAGCCAGAATCCACTTTTCTTGGTCCTGGGCACTTATGATCAGGCCCAAATCTATGCTTTAGGCAGTGTTCTTTGGTGCAATCTTTGCATCTGATGGTGTTGGAAAATGTCAGTGTCTCTCTGCACCCAGGAACAGGGCATTTCTTTTTCTTCGTCACTTTTTGGTAATTTGATGGATCACAATCAGTGTTAACATGAGTATCCCAGGTGATATTTGGGTCTTCACTTGGATTGAGGCGAACACCTTTAGCACAGAGTGGGCAGATGAGGACAGTGACATCTTTCATATTTGCATTTGGGCATTGGTGTGATGTATAACTTCGGTGATGAAGGCAAAATACCTATACAATGTCCAACAGCCACATTAGTATTTTGGCTGACAGTATTTAGTGAGGATAACTATACATACTAGATATGGACAGTAATCTTTCAGGCAATAGATAAGTTGCCCTTTAAATGAACTCAGTTTGACCAAATTTATATACTACCTTTTTTTCTAAAGAAATATGTAAAAATGGCCTCAGGAAATGTCCTTCCATATAATTGTTAACTATGAACTTCCCATTATTGCTATTGCAGTCAAAGAAAAAACATCAAAAGGATTAAATAAATTCTGCAAAAAAAAAAGTAAAAGCCCAAATTTCTCTATCTGCTACATAATGACGTTGCCAATTGAGAGTTCCATCAGATAAATAGTGATTAAGTTGAGTAACAATACATAATCTAGGAACTGCAAGTTGCAATGTCAAATACAGAAACTAAGCATCTAACAGGGGAAAAGCAACTAAATCAACTTTAAGACATCGTATGTGAGGAATCCAGGCATGTGACCGGCATAATGTGTTATGGTAGTTGTGTGAAACAAGTGGACGTTGGTATCATTAGCATTCCATGCATTTAGCTATCAATTATCATCAATATCATTCACATTTTGCGTATAGTGGCTGTCATTGACTAGGACAATTTTTTCTTCTACCCTGTTTCCTGATTTTATCAGTGTCCAATATTGGCTTGTAACTGAAGCAACAAATTCCTCCAATAAGAAAAGACACTTTATGTTTGCAGTTAGCGACAAGTCATTGGCATCTACATATGTAGATACCGTTTTCCTGGTGCCTACTATAGTGTCAAGCATTAAGCAGCGTGCCTCAGGCTATTATCCGAATGACAAATCTGGTATTCTTTCAGACTAAAAAAAATACTAAAATTTTCATGAAGGCTTTATAGTTTGGACCCCAAAACACAATAGTGTGTGAACCAGTAAACATTTTAATAGGTTCTAGTAAACAACTAATTGATCTTATTTCTTGAACATCTGGAAATTTTTTACTGGATCCACGAATCAGCCAAGTGGTTAAAGGTTCCATACCAAAAATGTTGACATTAGATGAAAATATAAAATACCAATGGTGAAGGGTGAGGCAAGAACTCTACCTTAATAACAAATGGAGCACAGCAAAAGCAGAACCCAAAGATGCATAGGGGATCACTGTTTTGTTCATGGTTAGATACAACAATTCAATCTCACCAAAGCAGTGAAAAAGACCGCCATAAGTGTTGCCCGGTCACTAGCACGAGTGGTTAAGGTTCCCTTTTCCCTCTCCTAAGGTTCGTGCCTACTGCCGCCTAGGAGTATATCATTATCCAAAACCTAAAGCTAGTGAATGTTTGCCCACCAAGCTACTACAACTCCCAAGATCTGTCTCGCGATACTGCGTCCACCAGATTTCCATGAAAAAAACCAGTTCTCGAGTTCCATAATTTACAGAAGATCAATTCTACAGAGCGCAACACAAATTTGGTTGCGCCAGCCAAAAGTCCGATTCGGAGCAAGTAGACAGGCATCACCACATCCAAGCACCAAAAGCAACGGGGAGAAGTTGCAGGAAACGCACATGGTCGCAGCGGTCGCAAGTGAAGGGGAGGAAGTCGATCTGGTTGCAGTCGCCGACGCTGCAGTGCTTCCCCAGGTCGGGGAACTCCGGCGTGCCCATCCCGCCGAACCGCGCCGCGCGCCCCCGCTCCAGGAGAACCGAGGCGAGGAGGACCGCCTCGGCGTCGCCGCGAGCGCGAGTCGTTGCCGCCACCGCCGCAGCGGCAGGCAGGAAGGGAGGAGGAGGAAAAGGGAGGGGCTCGGTCGTCAAACGGACGGGGCACGAAACCGAATAAACATAACGCTTTGACGTGAGGTTGTTTTCTTTAAAAGGCCCACGAGTACTTGTGGGCCCGGGATTAGTTGTGAACAGCCACAGCCCCTTTTTTCTCAGAGCAGGTGAGACCGTGAGAGTCTGAGCCGATGAGACAGCGGAAGCCGGTATCGGCGAGACTTTTGGACGTGAACACTACGGCAGGTGACTGACTAGCCACTTGGTGTAGTCCGTACTGGGAGTGTTACAGTTTTGGCTGCAATTTCCAATATGTTTTTTGGCCAATTATCATGTGGTTGTGGCTATGGTGCTGGCATTTCCAAGAAAACTAGGGATACTAGCTTACAGCGTGTGAATTTTGCTAAACCTTCACGCGAAGAAAATCAACACGTACGTGACATGGGTTTAGTTCCAAAGTTCCAACCGCTTCGGGTTCACAGTACACGAGACGCTTTCTAGTTTTTTGTATGAAGGAACACTTAGTTTTTACCCTAACAACGAGTCGTTAAACTTGGATGAAACATGAACGGATACGTCATACGTGCTCGGTACTCCGAAGACGCGGTACGCCGCGCGTGATGATGACACCAAACGGCCACGGGTTCATTCAGTTGAGAATGAGAATGCGGCGCTGAGCCCGCCCCACCCACGCACGCACGGACGCCGTGCCGGACTGCCGGTGCCGGTGCGAATCCCTCAATCCACGGGGCGGCGACCGTCTGATGGCGACCAATTCCCTCCGCATGAGATCACGCGTGCTGGTGGAGATAACTCATAACATGAAGGACGACCGGCGAGCTAGTCCACCCGGCAAGCCCGCGGCTTTTACCTGACCGGGCCTCGGCGTCTCGCTCGGGACGGGCGGCGTGGTTGACGCGGCCGCGTCCTCGTTTTCTTCGTAGGTGGACGGTGTTGCATGTCGGCTTGTCGTTTTCGCTTTCGGTGCATTCCTTTGCCGGATTCCGTGGACGCATCACGCAACAGCCGCGCAACGAGGGAGGAGGGATCGAGCCGGAGCTCAGGATCGTCCGGAAAACGGAACCAAAACTCTGGTTTTCGCGGCCAGGGAGACTGGCCACGACGATCCAGGGTGAATTAGGCTCATCGAACCAGATGAGCAAAATATGGATCGGTTAATTGGACGACCAAGGGTACTGCTGTTCTAGCTTGGGCAAAGTTATCGTGCCACCACGACAAGAACTATAGATAGATACCTTAATTGACAATTTCAACAAAATAATCGTACACACTCCCCTCCCCTCGGCCCTCACCACTAACCTTCACCTCCACGGCAAGAGCAACCAACACAAACAACCACAAAAAGACCAGCGGCCACGAACATACAACATTGTATTTAATTTCATAGCAACATCCACAAGTTGGATATTCACATAAATAGTTGTTTTTTCAATACGAACTGGAAATTGTTTTAGGCTTTTCACAAACCGTTTTTATCCCTGTTTTGCAAGAGTCACTTTGGAAGATACATATGTTCCCCAACCTGGAGAAGCACTTTCGGTTCACGCTCAAGATATATCAGTGAAAAAAAAGATTCTCGAACAAGACCATGGAAATGCCAAAAAGGAAAAAAGCCCAACGCTGGGCGATAATGATACATCACGGGCGTCTGTCCTGTCCGGACGGTCCGCTTCGCGCGCCCCGCCCACGCCACTAGATCCGTGTGCCCTGCACCTCGCCCGCCCGCGTGTCGTCGCTCGCTCCTGCCCACGCCCTCCACCTCGCTCGTCGCGGAAGGGAAGGCCTGCACTTGCGCCTGCGCCCCCGTCGGCAGGAAGAGGAGGCTTGCGCCACCGCAGTTCCCCACCAGGTAGGCCGTGACCGCCGGTGACACTATGTTTCAAGTGTTTCAGGCGTTTTCAGACATGTTACAAGCCTATGTTTCAAGTGTTTCAGTTATTTCAAACATATGTTTCAAGTGTTTCATCTAGATATTGCATATGTTGCTATGATTATAAACGCATGTGTTCGAGCGTATGTTTTAGATATTTTTTAGATTTATATTGTAAGTGTTTCATCTAGATGTTGGAAAAGTAGATCTGGATATTGGAAAAGTAGATCTGGATATTGCATATGTTGTTATGGCTATACACACATGTTTCAAGAGCATGTTTAAGTGTTTCATCTGTTTACAAACGTATGTTGCAAATGTTTCATCTGGAAGTTGGAAAAGTAGATCTGGATGTAGCATATGTTACTATGACTATGCACGCATGTTTCAAGAGCATGTTTCAAGTGTTTCATCTGTTTTTAGATGTATGTTGCAAGTGTTTTATCTAGATATTGCATATGTTGCAAATGGCTATGTTGCATGCGTATATTGCGAATGTTTTTGTTTCAGGCGTATGTTGCAATTGTTTCAGCTGAGTATTACAAAAGTAGATCGTAGGTGTGGAGGAAGCCTCAGCCCTTAGTGGTCCAGCTGTTGCGGCTCCCTAGTGTAGTGAAGATGGAGGCCACAGACACGAGAGCGGCGGGGACAGGATGTCATGGCGGATCGGCCAGGATGTGGAGTGGGATGGGCGATGGCACGACACATCGGGTGAGATGAGACGCGGGCCTCCATGTTGCGTGTGTCAGGCGCAGGCGTGGGAAGCTCCGACCGGACGGACTGCCTCTAGAGCGGGGATGGGTGCGGGGCGTGCGTTGGGTGCGGGTTTGAGCGTGCGTCAGATGCGGGCGCAGGAGCAGCGTGCGATTGGTGAATCAACAAAATGTCGTCTCATGAGGCTTTAGTGCCCCACAAGAATCTCATCCGCATTATTCCTAACCAGTCAGTACGCAGCGCGGGTCACAAATATTGTGGCAGAACCGTCCAAAATAGCACGCTTTCGAAGGCGCTCGTCTTCCCCCAGACACTAAGCACCCCGAAAGCTAGCTACATCGAACGGTTCCATCGAGCACACCCCAAGGAAGAACTCGAACAATCCACGTTTTTCATCCAGGATCTAATAATAAGTACAAATTTACAATACTTAGTCCATTTTATACAACAAGAGTTTTCGAAAATACATTATTACAATACCAAGTTCAGAGTGCGGAATTTAAACTGCGGAATTGAAATAAACATCTTACGATAAGATACAAGGATCCGTCTATGCCCACCAGAAGAATCCTTCACACAATAGCCATTCCTCAAGCTGGACTTGCAACAGGGGTAAATAAACTCTGAATACATAATGTACTCGCAAGACTTATCCGACTAGAGGGAATAATTTACCGACTCCAAAGGATATGCTAAGCTTTATGGTTTGCTGGGTTTCCCTTTTGTAAAAAGTATTACTAGTAGTGAATGCTTATGTATGTTTCTTATTAGCAGTCATGATTAGTTCATTATCTAACCATTCTATGTAAGCACATGTTCTACTTTCAAGCAAGAGTTGAGCAATCAGATCCATTCATCATCCTTCATCTTCCAGTTCTTAGTACGGTGCTAGACCAGAGCCAAGTCGTACCACATCACGCTACGATTCGTGAACCAATATATCCTAGCTAGATACCCTGAAACACACGCCCTGCTTGTACCCCAGGCACAAGCAAGACCAACCCACCACTCTTTTGTCAAGGGGTCTAGGTCCCCGTTCAAACTTGGACTCCAAGCCCCTACACCTGAGTCCTGAACTCAGTGTGGTGCTTAGACCTCCATCATCCTCGCCCCCAATCAGTCGGTCCGAAAAGAGCCAGAACCCACGACAAGAGAGCAGCGAGCCTTTTCGCTCCCATAAGCAAGTATGTGCTGAGGATAATAAGTCTGTAACCTGACTACCATCCACAGCAACGGACGGTCCTTAACCGACATGGATAGGGAAAACAGTGTAACCAAGCTATACTCCATTGGCCGTGGGACATAACCTATTACACCCACCAATACCCGTACCATATCCCTACCCGGTCTCCATTTTCTTTCACCATTTTATCATGAGAGTAATAATAATAACCACCTATTATGAGTAACGGCAGGTTACTCACGCTACCGATAGTCCAAGCATAGCAGCTACTCGACCTATGCTATTAGGACTCATAGGTAGGTTTATCTATGTATGTAGTTTCAATATAAATCCTGTAACGTAAATGCACATCACAGATATATATCCAGTGATTATTCAAAATAAGGGTTATGCACCGGAGCTTGCCTTGGGCAGGCGCGGTGTTCGCTGAGTCAGTCAGTGGCGGCTCCGGGACCTCCTCCTTCATGAGGATCTCCTCCTCATACTCCTCGACGATTTCCTCGAACTCGTGATCGCCGATGGTCACGATCTCCGCCAATTCGTTCTCTACATACATGCGATGATGATGCAACACTTAGTATTTATGTAATAGCAACTCTTAAAATAAGAATACACATGCTAAGCTACTAAGCTAGCTCTAATAACTAAGATACTAAGCTAATCATTATCTCTACCAAATAGATTCCAAGCTCACCCTACAAGTGCTTAATTTTTATAAACCAATATCATGCTATTATTCCTTTAGCCTTAATGGGTATTTAGCTACCATATTAAGTAGTCTATTCTAGGGCCACAAAAATTACAGTGAGCACATAATAATACAATGAACCTACCGTAAAAATTTCATGAACAAAACTATTACCAATTTTCCACAAAAATTCCTACAAGTATTAACCTAAATAATGTTAAACACTCTCAAACGATTTAATAAGCCTTAGCATCAACTCAGACCTGCATAATCTAGTCATACCATCAGATAGACAACATTTTTAGGAACTCAACAAAATTTATTTCATAATTTTTGGACACCTATACGAATTGATATTAATTTTTAAAGTTCAACTCAGAAATTAAAACATAAAGCTATTTCTAATTCCTTAA